CTTGACATCATCAGTCTTGTACTGGGTGGGAGTGGGGTGTGCAGGTGAAATTTGGAACTTTAAACCTTTTAAAATAAAGTCCACGTTTAAAAGAAAGTGTTCTGGAATATTATTTGTTTTGTTACAAGCATTCCAAAATGGGAGTCTCTGAAATTAAGTGCCTTTCTACTTTCAACTTATTTCAACTTATTTTATTTATCTTTTTCACCCTTTTATTTTATAATCCATTCAGGAAGAAAAACATTCCATTCTCTGTAAATGTAAATACTTAACAATCTTCTTATCCTACCTATCTCTATCCTATTCCATTCCATCCAAAGGCAGAATGATCTGTATTTGAAGCCATGCCAGACATATTTTTTTATTTGTGTATCAAGACCAGTGGTGGGGTTCAGATTTTTTTACTACCGGTTCTGTGGGTGTGGCTTGGTAGGCGTGGCATGGCTTGGTGGGTGTGCCTTGGTGGGTGTGGCGGGGAAGGATACTGTAAAATCTCCATTCCCATCCCACTCCAGGGGAAGGATACTGTAAAATCTCCATTCATTCCCCACTACAGGGGAAGGTTACTGCAAAATCCCCATTTCCTCCCAATCAGCTGGGATTTGGGAGGCAGAAAATAGATGGGGGCGGGGCCAGTCAGGGGCAGTATTTATCGGTTTTCCAAACTACTCAAAATTTCCGCTACTGGTTCTACAGAACTGGTCAGAACCTGCTGAATATCACCTCTAATCGAGAACCTCAAGTTAGCTCTAATGTTGCCTATTGATGACAAAGCCCTTGGAACCCTCATTTTTTTAACAGCTGAATTTCAAAGTATAAGCCAAACTCTCTGATGACAGTATGATGTTTTGTGGGAGGACTTGCAGAGGACAATTGGTGGGAGTGTTTAAGCTGATATGCTGTCCCAGTCGGATTTCCAACATAACTTAAAAGCAAATTGGGAGATGGTGAGAAGACTTTTTGCAGGAAGCAAGCTGTGTTTGGTGTTTTTATGTTAATGTCTTAGGGATTAGGGAATAAAACCACAAGGTGAAATACCACAGTAATATGTGTTTGGCCTCTAGACATCCACATACATCAGGGATCCCCTGCAACTTTAATTAGAAGCTTGCTCTCACAATTTCTGTTTTTTAATGAGCAACTTTCTGATCAGCACAGCAATATATTACTGATGAAGTGGCCACCTTCCTATTGTGACGCTGCAAGGTTTCACACTATCAGTGTGGAATTTTAAAACTCATACCACAGGCATGATTATATGCTGCTTGTTGAGAAATAAGAGCCACTGAACTTTCTCTCTGGTTTATGAGAGTTTAGTTGCTTTTTATAAATCTATTATGCTCCTGTAGTTCCCAGAATTCTTTCCAAAATTACAGTAAGCAATAAATGCCATACCCAGCTGATAACCCTTACAATACTGTCCAATACTGTAATTATATTAGCAGTGCAGGTCAGGACACATATTTGATCACTTTTTTTCCTTTAGACCAACAAAACTGAATCTGTTTTTTAAAGTAATGTGAAAATGCCATCATTTTAGCAACTTCACATCACGCATAGGCACATTTCAAAAGTCATGTGATATTCTTTTCTTTCCTTTTTTATTTTCATCACCCCTTACCTATCTTATCTTAAGAAGCTGGGATATGATGGAGTAAATTATGCATTTTAAATTATATGTTTATGGGCTCTCTGTTCGAGGGTGTCTGCGTACTCTTCCTCCACAACCAAAAACAAGATAAAATGCAGGACAAAGACTGCTTTTACATCAGATAAAACCTATGTCTTTGATGTATTCAGAATCCCTCACGCAGATGTTTTTAATTATTATAAGATTGAAAAGATGCAGGAAATGCCCAGATTCCATCTAACTGGAGTCTCAAAGACAGAAATTGGCCACATGTTAAGTGTACAAACTGTGCTATGAGGAAAAGGTATAATTTGAGTTGATTGCTGTACAAGTACACTATTTTCCTCAAATCCCTTCTTGTCACTTCAAACCCACTGGATGAAATGAATCTTATATGCTCTCCTTTTCTCATGTCTTCCAAAGTCTCCTCTGAAGGATGGTGTCCAAAATCACATACAGAAATCTGGATTATAGGAGGGTATCTTAGCAACCAGAGATACGGAAAAGTTATAAAGCTGAAGTAAAGCCCTATAACAACTGAAGGAGATGGATCTGTGTGCCCACTTGATTACCCTCCCACCTTTTTTTAAGCCTTGTATGTAATGTCCCATGTGTGTTACATGACTTCAGAAGTGCTGCTTTTAATATCTGCACAACAGGTAGAAATGCAAGAAAGGACAATTTCCTTGTAGGAAGAGTGTTACCATCGAATTTCAGCTTATAGGAAGATTCTGGTTCACGCAATTTGATTTGAAAAATGTCCACAAAGTTTAAAGAAGTACAGATGACAGCATCAAATATCTGTGGGGAGTTGTAACTATTCCCAGTGTATCCATTCCCATCTCTCTGTTGAACGTTAATACAATAAACTTCTATCTTATAACCTTGAAAGACATAGAAGAACTACTGGAGAGGAAAAAAGGGGATATTACTATTCCACCAAAAGAGAATCATATTGCTCAGATTGAACTGTGTAGCTCTTGATTTTCAGGGCTTTGGTCCCCAAGTCTCTGGCTGTGAGACCATGTTTCTGAAGCTGGCCTCATCAGATCAGTTGGGGTTGTTGCTAAATCTACCAGCCTCCTTGTTGCATGGCAACCTTCCTGCCTGAGCTGCTTCAGGTCATCTCAGGGTTGGCAGCAAAGTTCCCCAGGCTTATGGTCCTGAGAGATTCCAACCCACCATGGGCCTATCCCAGATTATTTTGGGCCTGACTCAGGGCAGTGGTCACACAGCAGATATAACCTTGTTGGAGCAATGGCAATGTGATCTGGTAAGGGATCTAGCATTATCCTCCCTGGAATGTGCTCTACATGGGCTGCCCTTCAAGAGTATCCAGAAGTTTCAGCTGGTGCAGAACGCAACACCGCAGGCAGTTCTTGGGGACCCTAGAGAGACCCATGTTACATCACTGTTCCGTAAGATGTACTATCTGCCAGTTTGCTTCCAGGTCCACTTCAAGGTGTTGGTTATTACCTTTAAAACCTTCCGCACCATGGCTGTCTGAGAAACCAGCTCACCTTGATGGGATTAGCCACTTCACCCACACTGGCATTTTGTGGACCCCATCAGCCAAGGAATTTTGGCTGGTCGGGTCAGGTAGAAAAGCCTTGTCTCCTATGGCTCCCACCCCCTAAAACATTTCCCACCCTCCCCATGTCACATCCATGTCACATCCGCTTCCACCCATTTGGCCTTCCAAAAGGCCTTGAAGATATGACTGTGCCAACTAACCTGGGGTCCCAATGGGGATGTGGCGCTTTGGAGGTGCTCTGGATAACACCCCAGTTTCTCCCTGAGTACATTTTGCTCCCTCCTGCTTGGTTTTATTTTAATTGATTTTGGTAGTCTAAGGCACCCTGTTATTAAGCTGGTTATTAAGACCAGCTGCCTGCAATTACTGCAGGTTCGAATCTCATCAAGGCTCAAGGTTGACTCAGCCTTCCATCCTTTCTAAGGTAGGTAAATTGAGGACCCAGTTGTGGGGGCAATAAGCTGACTTTGTATAAATATACAAAAGAATGAAGGCTATTGCTGAGCACATTGTAAGCCGCCTGAGTCTCCGGAGAAGGGCGGTGTATAAATAAATAAATAAATAAAAAAATTAAGATCCTAATATTTGTTTTAATGTTTTATAATGCATTTTATTTAATGCCTGTAAGTCACCTGGAGTTGTCTTTGGTGAGATGGACAATATACAAATTTGATAAATAAAATAATAAATAAATAATAGATTAATATGCTGGTGGGAAAAATATTTATTGTATTTGCTTCCTGAAATGAATTGTTTATCCAAAACACTGGATATTAGTGTTTCTTAAAAACAAATATATCTCATTTTTTTGTTTGCTTGTTTGCACATTATTAAAAGACTGCATTGCAGGCATGGGCCTTTACATTTTAAAAGAAACATTTTACTGCAATAACCAGTCAGCAATATAGCCCAATGTAGTTCTGAAGCAGGAAAGTTATTTCCAGTTTGTCACAGGTTGCACTCATTGTAACTCTCAGCAGCACTTTAAAGAAGCTCGACCCTTTCCTTGATTTTGGAGGGATGGTTACTTTGAGGTACCATTGATGGGCAATCACAGTTAATAAAGGTAAAGGTTTCCCTTATCCAGTTGTGTCCAATTCTAGGATGTGTGCTTATTTTCGTTTTTCAGCTGAGGGAGCCAAGTGTTGTCCAAAGACATTTCCATGTTCATGTGGCCAGCATGACTACATGCTGAGGTGCATGGAGCACTGTTACCTTCCCACCAAAGTTTATCTACTCACATTTGCATGCTTTCAAATTAGGGGGGGGCAGGAACTGGGGCAAGTAACAGGAGCTCACCCCATTTCCTGCTGAGAAACTCAGAGTCTTTAATCACTGAGCCATCACTCCCCCTAAGTACAGTTATTCCATATCCAAAAACATTTCCTTTAGAGATCTGAATACTGCATATTAGATTGCAAAAAAAAAATTTCAAATAACCATTAGAAGGCAAAAAAGATACATTTTATGTTTCCTTGTTGCCATGTAGTAAGGATCCAGATTTTTGAGATCGAGATGTACTAGGCCTAATTGTAAATAGACTTCTGTCTATCTGTAGGGAGTAAGGAAGATGACCTTGACAAGATGAGGGAACCTAGGCCAAAGGGATTAAACATTTTTGAATTCTGCAATGAGATAACATTTGGAAGTGCCTCAGTATTCCTATTTAACTAAATAATATGAAGGAGGAGGAGGAGGTACAATCAGACATGCAAGGTTCTGTTGTTATAGCTGGACTCAATAAAAGTAGCTTTAGCCTTCCTGTGGAGTGGATTTCTAGGTTTGTTCTCCCTAGAGGGGCTGGGAAATTTAGTTGAACTTTTGCTTAGTAGTTGATTCCAATTTTCAGTCTCTGAGCATTTGCAAAGAACAAAGACAATTTTATTCCTACTTCTAACCTTAATGATGGGTCAACTCTGTTCTCAGAAATACCATTCTGTTCAATTATACTGTTTTATAGAAAAAGGTATGGTCATGTTAGTAGAGTACCTTGTTTCAAAAAGACATCACAGGACTGATTATTACTGTAAAACTCCTTAATTTATGAATTATTCTTTAAAAAAAATATTATTAGTCTCTGCCAGGCAATTTCAGGAGAAAGAGATCCATTTCCCAATCACTATAAACAGCTGATGTTAACTATGTTGGGCTTCTCACCACTTATGGGCTCTTCGGTATTTGGCTTGTGTTCATTGTCTCTTCCTGGATCACTGGCAGGTTCACTCTCTTGCTGTCCTCTACTACCATTTTGGGTAATCTTGCTGATCTCCTTTACTTTAGCTAACATTTCTTCTTCCTCCTCCTCCTCCCCATCTTCCATATTATCTGCAGTTGTTGCCATGGCTACCTCTTGGTTCTGCACTCGGCGGGAGGGTCTCAAGATGGCTTTGCGAAAACCCTGTTTGAACCGATAGGAGAGGAAGCCATAGATGATAGGATTGGTGCAACTGTTGGCATAGGGCAGGACAACAACCAGAAAGTAAATACCAAAGAGTGATGGTTCCTCAGGCAAAGTCCAGATGACGTTGATGATGTTGAGCATATAGAAAGGTAGCCAACAGAGTACAAAGACTGCCACCACAATTACTACCATGCGTGTGATCCTCCGTTCAGAGCGTTTGCGTTTAGCTGTCAGTGCTCGCACCTTTCTGCCTGATGAACGAACCTTGACAACAATAAGCAGGTAACACAAGCAGATTACCAGCAGTGGCCCAAAGAAGCCGAGTGTAGCTGTGTAGATGATGAAACCAGCTTTCCATACTGAAGCAGGCTCAGGCCATTTGATGTGGCATGTACTCATACCATGTGGGACTTCTGAAAACACTACCACAGGCAGCACCACTACAGATGAGATTACCCACACAGTGGCACTGACAGTCTTAGCGACTCGGACTGTCCGCCATTTTGAGGATTTCACAGGGTGCACCACAGCCAGATAGCGGTCAATGCTCATCACGGTGAGGCAGAAAATACTAGTAAATTGGTTTATGGCATCCACAGCCATCACTAGACGGCACATAAATGACCCAAAAGGCCAATATGATAAAGCATTTTGTGCTGCCAAGAAGGGTAGGCCAAGCATAAAGAGTTCATCTGCCAGTGCCAAGTTGAAGATATAGATGTTAGTCACTGATTCACTTACTGAATGGCACAAAACCACATAAATGACTAGAGAATTTCCAGCTAGTCCTACAACACAGACAATGAGATATACCAGTGGAATAAGGACACCACTAATATCTAGGCCTAGACTAGAAGCTAGGGATAAATTTCCAGAAAGAAAGGCTGTACCAGAAGTTGTTGAATTCTCTTCCCAAAAAGCCACTGTGGTGGTGAAGTTGAAATTGTCCATGGCAGAAAAAGGAGGGGCAGGAAACAAATATCCACAGGATCCCTTGGGAGGACTCTGCATTTGAGAAGAACAGAAATAGATAATTTAACATTCATCTTATAATCCACAAGCATTCTAGATAGTTAATATGTAACTCTACAGAGAATTTAAGATATGGAATAGCAAGTGATGGCCAGTGAATCTCATGACTACAGGCTAGAATTGTCTATATCTCTCCATTGCTTCTAATTTTGATTATAGTGGAGATTTCTCTTTCAGTTACCCCTATTCCTAAATTAAGGCACACTAAGACTTGGAATCAATGGTAAATTTACAGAGAAAATTTATAGAATAAGGGGGGGGGGGAAGAAACTTGCCACATTAAAAAAAAACTTGAAAAATGGGGCAATCTTTATCTTCAGGATATCACAAGGGAGCAGATTGTTGTGTATAATGAGGTTGGGAATCAAATAGATCATGGAAACAACATGAAATCCTATCAAGTGGTCGGACTTAGGTTCCATACCTAATAAAAGTGAAGGTCAACAGCCACAACAGACAGAACTCTAATGTATATTAAGAGATATTCTTCAACCAACTCAATCATCTTGCATTGCCAAAATTATTCATTCTAACTGCAAAATAGATCCCGGAGTTCATTTATAACATATTCTCAAGACAGTGTTTCTAAGAAGAGCAAGTCTTGTCAGCTAAATATTTAATTGATGCCAGTGTAGCCTTAGAGAGTCAGTCTGATGTTAAAGGCTCTGGCTGCAAATCAAGAGACTCTGAATTCTAATCCTGTCTTAGATATAAAACCAGTTTGGTGATTCTGAGCCAATCAATCTCTCTCAACTCGAAGGAGATAATGGCAAACCACTTCCAAACACATTCTTTTCCAGTCTGAGGACCAAAGTTGGATTTAAGTAATCTACCAAGAGACACATTCAAAAATGTCAGTAAGGTAATGACTAAGAAGTGGATGATTAGGGCAAAAACTAAATTTGGAAGGGTCAGAAGAAAAACAACATTTTCAGACAGGCATTTAAATTCCTTTCATTTAACTGATTATTTCCCATGCATTTAACAAAGTCTTGTTACTACTCCATTGTCAGCGAGAACTTTTGAAGGAACTCTTGTAACAATATCCCAAGGTTTTTAATGGCTGCATGCAATTCTGGTTCCCTAGTTATATATCAGTCTTATCTCCTGTCAGTCTATTTAAAAAAACAAAAAGAATAATGATTAGAGGAGATTGCAGGGCATGGAAAGTATGAACACAGGGTTTTATGATTGAATGAAACAGAGGAAGGCAACCTAATCCCAGTTAACAACTCCCAAAACACAATAAGAGCCTAAGTATGATTGTCTAACCCACTGTGTGTGCAGTACTTCAAACTTTGTGATTCATTTTCCAACAAAAAAGACATTAAAACACATATATTAGAGAGGAGACAAGAAAAAAGGCACTAGAGATGCATATATACAGTAGTAAAAATAACATCAAGAAATGCTTTATATTAGGGGACTTTTTACAACAAAACATTTGAAGCAAAACTGAACATAAAAATTACATATTAGATGATATCAATGCCGAAACATCTATTCATGGCAAATGTTAAATCAGAAACTGATGGAAACAGAATAGAATATACTTAAGACTAAAAAAATATGAAAATCGGTGATTAGATTGTGAGTTATATACAGAAGATCCCATTTCCAGTCTAATGGAAAGAATAAGGCTGAAGAATTAGATCTTAGCCTGGAGAATTCTGGAGGTGACTTCCTATCTCAGTGGGAGAAGTGCTGTCATGATGTCGTTCTTCCCTTGGGAGATAATTGAAGTGTGGGAAGCTGCTGGAGAGAGAGGACTGTGTAGTGGAAGTATAGGAAGCAAGGGGAGCTGCCAAGTGCAGGACATGCACTCAGGCACCCATTAATAGGAACACCATTACCCACTCAACATTTTTGTCTTTTGAAATGAAAGTGAACCCATTATCCATCAGGCGAAGGGGTAACGGGTGGTTACTTTTCACACAGTACAACTAAGTGCTTTATTTCCTTTACTTCAAATTTTTACTAAGCAATGTTCTCGTATTTGGAAGCCTGGGATTTCTTCTGCAAAGTTCTACCCAGGCAGCCTCAAGAGCAGAATGCACAGCTCTGGCTGTGTTGTCTAAGATAGTTGGAAAGCACCACATTGGGAAGGCTAGAATAGACAGGATACAATTTGCCATGATTACAGAGAATGTTCCTTTCCCGGTGCTATGTGGGAAAAAGTAGGACTTCAGCTTCTGCCTTCTGCATGCAAATGCATGCATGCATTTCACCCAATGCCAAAAAGTATTTGGATGTAAAGCCTATAGATCTGCCATTAGAATGATGATGATTAAACTATATATATATATGAAAAAACAAAATTTCCATTTTGAAACACATACACACAGAGTATGCATACACAGCCACAATCTTCAGAACAATTAGAACCTGCTGTTTGAAAGTCATGTCCCTCTAAACCCTACAAAACACATAGCTGGAGGTGATGAAAGCTTATATTGATTGTAAATCACTTGAGTCAAGGATTATGTTTTCCTGCCATGAACATGTGCTATTATATAAAACATTATCTGCATGTGAGAATTCTAGAGAAATTTTTTAAATCACATGGTCAATCTATGATGATAACATACATAAAGAATCCTTTCTTATAACAGGCATATGTCTATTTGCAGTTGGCTGTACAACCACAATCTTTCACATGCACTTTTGTAATTAGCTATGGATGTAGCATTGTACCAGATAGCATTGGAAGGGGACTGCAAAGAACAACTAGTCCAACCTATCGCAATGTGCCAGAAAACCAATTAAACCATCCATAAGAGGCCCATAAGGATGTGGTGTCTCAGTGGCTAAGACACTGAGCTTGTCGACAGTTCAGTGGTTCAAATCCCTAGTAATGGGGTGAGCACCCGTTACTTGTCCCAGCTTCTGCCAACCTAGCAGTTCGAAAGTAAAAAATGCAAGTAGAAAAATAGGGGCCACTTTAGTGGAAAGGTAACAGCGTTTCGTGCACCTTTGGTGTTTAATCATGCCGGCCACATGACCACAAGACGTCTTCGGACAGCACTGGCTCTTCAGCTTTGAAACAGAGTTGAGCACTGCCCCCTAGAGACTCATCTTAAAAACCTCCAGAAATGAAGAACCCACATCCTCCATAGATTGCCTATTCCACTTTTCTATAGGATTACTTGCTTGTATTCCACTATGCAGGATATACAATCCATCTTATTTTGTACTGCCCATAATCTTCCTATATGTAATGGCACTGCCACCACACCAGGTGATGTAATGATAAGTTTGAAAACCAAAAGAGTAGTAACGTAGAATGGTATCTCCATACAGCATTGAGGGTGGGGAGAAAGCCTGTTGTGTATCCTGAACACTCTCTGTGTATACATGAGGGTGGGGGATGGAATGTATATACACTTCTCAAAAAAATAAAGGAAACACAAGCAGAAGACATCCGAGATCTGAATGAATGAAATAGCCTTATTAAATACTTTGTTTGTTACATACAGTAGTTCTGTGTTCCCTTTAGTTGTTTGAGCAGTGTATAAACTACTGAATGTAAAGAACAAAGTATTTAATAAGGCTATTTCATTCATTCAGATCTCGGATGTCTTCTCCTTGTGTTCCCTTTATTTTTTTGAGCAGTATATATAAAGGTCAGCAAATCTGTCTGCATATGGATATGTGGATGCACAGGATGATCTTAAGGCAGCCCCTGGAGAGGAAAATGTTGGCTACTCATGGGTCAAAACCTCCAGAGGAAATGTACCCTTCTCTTAGAAAGTATTGAACATGTGTAATATGTCACAAATATATGCTAAAATACATTAGTTTAGCTTTGATTATTGGACTTCTCCAAAAGCAGAAAAATTTTCTCAAGCCATGGCTTAAAGGCTTTGAATGATAATCAAAATACTTGGTGCATATTTTTGAACACTGTGATATCACATGCCAATTCACCATGGAACAAAAAGCAAGCTTCCTTTATAAAAAAAGTGTATCATTAATTACCGGGATGGAAAAGCCACAAATTAAGCTGTTTAAAATATTTTAAAAAACCAAATAGAGAATTAAAATATGCATTTTTTTTAATGCAAAACATTCTCCATTATTCAAATGTTAATATTCAATTTGCAGCATGGCCATAAAACTCTCAGTATCATTCTGTCTTTAAAATAATAGGTTATTTTCCCCTTCCCCCTTTCCCAGCTCATTTGTAGAAATGAGTGTAACATATTGTGAAATCCCTAATATCCAGCTAAATTCAGTAATTTGTGTCTCTTAATATTAATTAAAACAAAACGCAGAAAAACCATTGTCTTTCTTTTAAAAAATGATCACCATTCATTGAATTGGGTTGACTTAAATATTGGACTTATAGTGAGTTAATTTGTCTTCTATTACCTTCTTTATTAAAAAAAAATATGATGCTTGCAAAGATAAATTATTCTAGGGCAATGCAGCTAACTCTAAAGCTATAGAATGATAGTACAGTTATGATTTCCCCTTAACTATATAGTTAGCCTATAGGACATTCTCTCTAGCCACTTATCTATCACTTAAAACTCATCTATATTCAGACAGTGGTTGTAGCTGTTTCTGTTGTTATTTCTCATTATGGAACTTATAGAAAGGTGAATGAATATATCTGAAGATTTGGTAGACAAATGAAAATTATGGGTTTGAACCAAAGCATTAACAAGTGTATATTATAGGGTTTTTTTCACAAGCTTATCTTGAGGGGAAGGCTAATGACACAATGACAGAGCATTGTCATACATACAGAAGATGCCAGATCATCTTCTCTAAGGTCTCTACATTAGATTGCAAACAGACTGAAATTCTTATTTAATAGTAAAGAGCTGGACTGTGCAAACTTTTTGAAGCAAAAAGGATCATCTTCAGATGGTATGCACAGTGTACAAAGTCAGGCCAAAACATAAATTGGATTAAACTAAAATGTAATTGAAAATTAACCTTTATGGTAAATTAAGCAAGGCTAATATTATTAAATTGGGTTTCTTAGTATATTTTTCCTCTGATCAAATAAAAATTACAGTTCGAGATAACTTTTAAAAATCATCTGGGAGCTGCCTGTTCTCAAAGTTTAAATAACTGCCTGGACTTCCAGGACTCAGATTATAGAGCTTTAATGTGGTTACTCAGTAATACAAGATGGCTTGTTGTCATGCTTATTGAAGAAAGCATTTGACATTCTGAATTGCTATCAATTTTAATTACATTTTATTTGCTGAATCTCTGTTGGTTTTAATTGGAGGTATCCAATTAAAAGAAATAGAATAAAAACTTGTAAATGGTGACAGCAGTTCAAAACACGGGTATGAGTGCTAAAGTCGAGATATAACGCAAAGCAAATAAGGAATTTTCTGGGGCAGATATTTTAAGGATATTTTCCAAAGTTCTAGAAATGGTGCTAGAAATCTGGCTTGGAAATGGGAATGTTATGGGGAAAAGTATTGCAAAACTAGTATAAGTTGAGGAAGAATAGCAGTGGGGTTTTTAAAGTGAGCCCTGAAAAATCAGCAATATGGCTGCTCATTAACGAAACATTAAGAACATTGTTTAAAAAATCCCAATCATGATACAATTTACAATGCTTACAAAGAGAATGTGGTTTCTTACTAATACAGTACACTATTATTTGTTTGTAACCTCCCCATCAGCTGTTGGACTATCAGCCATACCTTAGGGAGCATTTCTAACTGCCTCAAGCTATACAGAAAGTAGGGAGAAATTCTTTTTTTTTTCCTGAGAAGAACAGTGACAGATTAACTACTAGGAAAATGCAATGTTTCAGAAATAAAGCATGGCCTTAAAGAAAAACATTTGAGTCCCAAGGTACAAATTAGTAATAACCAGACCCTTGTCTTGCCCTCTCCCACAAATCAACATATGAAAAATTCCAAAATGATGAAAAATCAGATACGTTTATAGAGTTCTTCAACCAGAGCAAACCCATGATAAAGTATTTGTGCAGACAGACTGATAAGCTTTTGATTGATTAATTGAGTATGTACCATCAAATCTTTTTATTTATTTTTTTTACTCCTAGTGACTACATAGATATATATGCTTTTGGAGAGAATAAATTATGAGCCTATGAGTTGCAACACCACTCTGGCTACATTCTACAGATGCTCCACATTCTTTGCAAATGCTTATGTGTACAATTATCGGACTCCATTTTGTCTAACAGGTTCTTTTAAAAAAATAATAATTAAAAAGTCAGGCACTCTTTTGTAACGTCAACACACTTTTGCCATATTTTTACTGGACTTATTCTCACTGGTGAGAATATTAATCTCACCAGTGGAGAAAATACTGTCATTGACTTATAAAGAAAAATAGCAAATCACTTAAACCTGTATCTGAAAAAAGAAAACTCAAGGATTTCCATCCATATCAGTCTCTGAGCAAAGTCAACAATTTTGAACCATTGCAATAGATGCATATGTGCATAAGTGTGTTTGATATGGCAGTGGATACTTATTACCTTCCTTCTTTTGTGCCTAAGTCAGTCTTGATTCCCAGTGACTGCTTGGACAGGCCCCAGTTGCCTGCCATCAATTTCAGAAGTGGTTTCCCAAGGGATTCTTCTTAGGGCTGAGAGAAAGGGACTGACCCAAGGTCACCCATCTGGCTCCATGTTTAAGGCAGGACTAGAAGTCACAGTCTCCTGGTTTCTAGTCTGATGCCTTTAAGCAACACACCAGATTGGCTCTCATGTTATGTTCTTCAGTGGAACCTTATCTAAAAAGACATAAAATCTGTTTCTGAAATTATCATGTCATCCTGACTCTCTCTACACTGCCCATAATTTCTATTGGGGCTACCAATTTTTAAACTGTCTTGAAGTCTGAAGAAATAGATGGGCTATAAAGCTAGATAATAAATAAATAAATAAATAGAATTGTTGCATTCTCCCTAAATCAACTTCTACTTACTCCCCACCCCACCCACCGAGCTACCCCCGGGCCAGGCTACTCTACAAATGAAGCTTCTTTCCTAAAGGTTTTTAGAATCCCAAAATTGCAATCTTCTACCTACTGGTTATTCAGGGAAAACCCCTTTAAAAAGACAAGGAACTTTTCTGAAGTATATAGCTGGTTGCATGACAGAATTAAATGAATGACAACAGGTAGGTTTAGCGGATAGATCTGGGAAAACATAAACTCATGACAAAAGTGAATTTGATAAAGCAGAAAACCCCAGCATTCATTCACCTCGCCCTTTTTCCTCCATGGCTCAAATCCACTGAATGTTAGAAAGAACAGACCCCCCCAAAGTAAAAACCTTACTTATCAGAAGGAGATGGAAGAGGGAGGGGCACGGAGTAGAGAGCATCAGTTGCCCAGGTCTCAAAGTAAAGTTTCGCATGCAATTGAATGTGAAGGAAAAAAATCAGGGACTAGAGGCTGTGCTGGATACTCACAGATTCAACAAATGGGTATCTGCCTTCACTTGCCAGGATGATATTTCATCTTCTTCTGTCTTCCTCTTTCTTTTATATCAGGAAAAAGGAAAGGAATGCCTGAATCCAGTGTCTTTTACATCGGACCGAGAAGCCTTTTTATCTCTTTAACTTTCTTTCTCCTTTCAAGCACCTGGTTATCTTTCTTTCCTTTGGCTGCTCCTCCTGGGCTGACATACCTTCTCCTGGCCCCTTTGCTCCCACATCGGCCTGCCTGCTTGCCTCCCTGCTTGCTGCCTGCCTGCCTTTAATACTCTCCCACCTGGTCTTCTCTAGTCACTGCAGGTAAGAAAGCTCTCTTCTAGCATCTAATGAGTGGAGCCCAGCCCGGCTTTCCTTCTGCTGAATGAAGGGAGAGGGTGGATGGAGGGGGGCTGCATGTCTCACAGGGTTAGGCAGATCAAGATGTATGTCAGTTGCGCCTGGGAATGGTGCCACCAGCCAATCAGCATCGATTTAGAGGGAGCAGGCAGGAAGAAAAGAGAGAGAGAGAGAGAGAGAGAGAGAGAGAGAGAGAGAGAGAGAGAGATTGGCGGTGTGACAGAGGGATTATGATAGAAGGAAAGAACATGGAAGGGAGGAGGAAGAGGGGATGTGAGGGGGTGTAAGAAGAAGAAAAGGAAGCAGGAGGGGATGTGCATAAGAGTGCAGTTATAACAGATGGTGACAGAGCAGGGAAGAGAGGACAGAGGTAAGTGGGGAGGTGGGGGAAGGGAAAGGGGAAAATATGGAAAGAAGCTCAGTGATGCTCCTGGAAGGTTGCTGAGAAGAAAGGTCTCCAGTCTAGAGCTAAGCATTCATTGTGAAAGCTGGATTTCTTGCCTGGTGCCTATTGATTTCTATCTATGCTTTTCTTCCATTCAGGATTTCTGTGAAGTTTTACAGACTTATACATTCAAAATTCCTTGCTATAATGCCTGCCTGTCAGGGATGTCATGAAAACCTCCACCATCCAATTTGTTAATTTATAAATATGCTTTGGCCTTTCTTAATTTGATGTTATGCAACTTGTTTATATGTGCTTTCTGAGCCGGAGGGGGGAGGGAAGGGACTTTTGTATGCGATGTTTAATGCAAGCCTTTTGTATTTCTAATCTCTCTAGCTGCAGTAATAAAAGTCTTAATTGGTTCAAAAAGTAAATCCGGTATATCAATTTGTTTTTTTCCCCTCAATCTCTTATGTTTAATAAGCTATAAATTAATTGCTTTGGTTAATCTAACCAATGTTATTCTGCATTCTCTTTACAGCAACAATATCCAGAGGAGATTCATTCCAGACTAAGGATCATTCTTAAGATGCAAATGAAGAAAACATGTCATTAATGGTTCATTAGACATCCTATAACATTTAAGTTGACGGTTTTCAATATTTTAACATGCAGATGTGCTACAACTGCTCTCCTTCTCCCTCTAACAGTGATTAGCTAATGTGCTACATGGAAAAACAGTTGTGTAGATTGCCTGTCATATTCTGGGCAAAATCATATGTGAATAAATGTTGATTTTTTTGGCTGCTTTTTAAGATTATAAATTAAAATATTCAAAGGTGTCCCCCCCCATGTACAGAGTATGTTTCTATGAATGGGCTATTAAAAATTGGACAGCATTTTACATTTTACAGATATATTTGTCTACCCACACATTGGATTAATAAACTGAGATGTCTTTTCTGTCCTCCTCCATTTTATCACAATTTCATATTACATCTGAAAAAATAAACTATGGTTACCAGCTTTGGAACAGGTTTTGACTTGAAAAACCATATCATGCAATGGATTTAAGATTCAGAATTGTGCTAGCGCTGATAATTGGAGATCTCTAATTTGGACTAAACAAGTAACCGTGGCAAATTGGAGATTTCCAGGTTCCCAAAGAAGGGAGAAGAGGAGAGGGTCCAAATGAACATCTATCTGGCATTATCATCTGCAAGTTTATTTTCATATTTAGTCTCAGCCTTCAGTTTCCAAGAAAAAACTGCTAAGACTGATGGAACTTATTTTTATTCTCCTAGCTGATCTCCTCCCGATACTAGTTTTTGCATGTGGTGAATTTAGTGGTATTTGGTAGAACCTCTGAGATTATAGTCAGACATGTCATATCTGATTGCTCCAGAATGATAATCCTGATGGCACAATCATGGCAATTGCTCCTTTTCATTAAGGAGCTGATAAAAGCACTTTGATTCAATGTAGCAATTTCAGGATCATTATTATTTTAATAGTAGTGGCTTGCCAGGAGTCTGGGCACTACATTTTGTACCAGCTGTAGCTTCTACCGTACATTGTCTCCAGAGGTTACTCCATGTAAGTACATTGCAATACTCCAGCTGAATTGTAGTCCAGGGACATATTACTGTTTCAGGGGATGTTGGTCCAGATAGCTAAGGCTGAAGAAAATCTTCCCCAATCATGGTTTCCATCTGTTGTTTAAGCAGGAATTTTCAGACCTGCTTCAGACCAGAACGTTCAGGAAAAATCTTAAGTCCTATCAACTCCTTCAGGAGGGAACATGGTTCCATCCAGAGTTATTATCAAGAAAATATTATTAGATTGCCCCAATGTCTATTGATGACAAATAGCTTTACTTTCAAATATTTAATTTGAATTTGTTTCACCACATCCAAAATTCTACAGCTTCCCAGATATCATGTGATATCAAAAACATGCCTGGTCCAAGGTATTTAAATTTAGGATAGGTGAATTATAATTATATTTAAATGTATCTACAGGATCAATTTGTCAAAATGATGAAACAAACATGTCAATGTTGCAATGGAGACACCTCCCTTTTTATATAATGCATGTATAATAGAGGCAAAGTCAACATTGTGTCAGCATCAGCACAATACTTGTCCCCCCACCTTGTTGCCCCCCCCCAATTTCTGCCCAGTGGATTAATTCATAATTAACTTGATGATATATCTAGATATCTAGGACTTGGTTTGCCTTCTGGTTTATCCTGACTGGCAATTTTGGATGAGAGTACCATATTTCACTAGTGAACTCCTGACCAAGCTTAGCTAGATGAGCTGCTGATAGCTAATTTTTTAAAAAATAATATGAAATTAACTGGATCTTGTTTTCATCTTTTCTCAAAATTCTTGATTGCTTATCACAAATTAACTATATCTTAACTATCAGGACCTTAACTACTGTTTTATTAGGTAACAACATCTGGCTGCCTTTGGTACAGAAGCTAAATGTGTCAGAGCTCATTAGTACTTGGTTGGGAGATTACTAGAGAATATAGAGTCATAGGCTAAGTTGGAAAGTTTGCAATGGCAACTTAAATTGATTTACTTAAATTAAATCAGCATGGTTTTTGGTCAGATTTGGAGACATTGTCTTTGTAACAGTATAAGAGGCCCTAGGTATGCAGTTTTGTCTTGATTACTCTAATTTCAGAGGCAGTGAAGACCAAGATGTGAAAGAATTGCAACTTATTTTTAGGAAACGAAAATATAGCCCTATCCTGATCATTTGATGATAACGCTCCTCTACTCCAAATCCACTTTAGTGTAGGATGTAATCCTCATAAATATGTAGAGGGAGATTTTCGCTTCACTGTTTGATTATATAGATAGGCTGCTGTTATGATAATGATGTAATTCTTAAATATGAACATCTAATTTTTAAAGAATCATCTTTACCAAGAAACTTAATATTATCCCCCCCCCCTTGCCCCAAAATATCAAGGAAATGATACTTGTAAAGCACAGGGTAGAAGAATGTAAAGGGTGCATAGAATGTTTATTGTCTGTTCTACCTTTGAAATAAGTAAATATATTATTATCTAAGCAAAGGATGTCCTTTAAAAACCATGTGTTCAAGGCAACCTAAGTGTGCCATTAAAAAAGAACAGAACATGTCAGCTATTTTCTTCTGTCTCTACATGATTTGTGTGTGCGAGTGTGTTTTTTCAGAGAATCTGCCTTTTGATTCCCTTGGCATTTATCTAGAGATCAACAACACCCACTTTTTTTTTTTTTGCTTCTGCCTATCTGTCTCTGTTTCTTTCCAGCTCCTGGATTTGTCCTTCATCTCCTGCTTACAGCCCACCTTTTTCTGCTTTGCTCAAGGGAGTTTGTTGCCTGTGATTATACCGTAGTCTGCATTCCTCACTAAGCCACAAGGTTCATAGGACCAACTGCAGAAACTATTCCACATGAATGTGGAACAGAGCTTAGCTTTGTATTGCTTTTCTGGTGTCCATTAAGATAGCATGAATGTTTTGATAGCTACACTTTGCCAAAATAGTAAAACAACTCTGTCTCCTATTTTAATAAGTTTGAGCTTATGTTGTTTTCTGCTCCATTTAAAGATAGAATATGAAGAAAAAGGAAACTGTCAGTCAGAGCTGTGTTTCCATTTTCTTCTGAACAGTCTTCCATGTAGCAAGTTATATACGTCTTAAAAAATGTAAGTAATTTTTAAGTACAAGAGCTACATGCCCCAAAATGGTGTATGCTGAGGAAAACAATTATGTGGTCATTTCCCGCTATAAATCTTGAGAGAAGCATATGTGGAATCTCTTCAACCACAGTCTATTCCCCCAATCCATCTAAAATTGTATGCCCTCAACAATATTTTTTTCCTTCCCATCTTTTTTTCTTCTTTTTAACTATTTTACCACATGAAAAGACCTTGGAAATTCCAAAGCATACAGTGATTTTGTCCAGTTGTCTCTCCAGCATTCTTGAGTCCCATTTACTGAGATGAGATCCACAGGGCTTGAATGCCCTGTGTTTGAATGCCAATATGTTTGAATGCACATAAAAGCATTTCATCACCTGAAAATTTATAACCCAGATCCCAATTCTACTTGTGAGTAAAGGAAGGAGAATAGAACAACTCATAACTCCCCATTGAACACAGGTGGGGTCCTTTGGCACAGTCTGGTAGGAGGTCTTGGATGTTGTCTCTTTTCCTTTTCTTCACCAAATTCTGCCAAGGGATAAACTCTTAACCATAGCATAGGATGAGAATGCTCTTTGGAGCATAGGCCAGTAGTGGCTTCTTCATAAAAGTGTATAAAATTGTAGTTAAGTAATCGATAGCTGACAAGATGTCTGAATCCAACAAGATGTCTGAATTATGTTTGGGGAATATTTGCTTTATGTCCAGCTTTACAAGAAGATATAGTATGGGTTCCATCTGAGCATTTTCAGTCCCGGGGGGGTGGGGGGCATTCCTATCTTTTGCTGGAGATCTTGGGGTGATTTCTTTTGCACGCAAAACATGTAATTTGACAAGTGAACACCAGTTAATTTTTGCATGCAAACCTGTAATTGACCACTGAATTACAGTCTTTGTCTCATCTAATTCACATGAAGAAGAAACATAGACAAATCAAGCATTCTATTTGGCACAGCAGGCTAAGCATCACATCCAAGTGGTCCTGATGAAGAATTGAGCATTAAGCAAATTGCAGCAGTTAATCTATAAAATGCCTCATAGGTATAACGTTCTGCTATGGTTTTTGTGAGTAAAAAGGGATCCTTCCATCCCTCTGTGTTTGCTTAAAAGTGTGAGGTAGTGTCTTCTTGATTGTATCTGTTGCTCTGAACTTTGTTTCAGCTAATAAAGTCTGTAGCACCAACACTATAAGAAAATGGCACCTTTAGCAAGTTGGTCAAGAATATATCTTACTGATCATCCTTTAAAGGACCTTTCCTGGTCCTTAGCAGATCCAGCAATACAGGTGCCCATAGCTGCCAATTATACTGCACCATAAGGATAGCTGTCATCAGTTTTTATTTTAGCAACCCGTAGGTTATTCATCTTGATCGGTGACTCATTCTATTGCCTCCTTGCTCCTTCCAGCACTCCGTTTTTGCTTGCAGATCAGTGCAAGTAGAGAGATTGGAATAGCAACAGAGATCTGTGCCATTCTTTGTAGTTGCCCAGAAGCACTCCAGGAGGAGGAAACTGCCACAAAGGCATGGGTCCTAAATTAAGAAAGTCCCTAATAATGCAGACTTACTCATTGCCCAAACCACTGGCTTGTGGAACATATAGTCATTTATGCTCTTTGGCACCATTCTGCGGATAGGAGAGAGCTGTGGGTGCACTGGTACAAAACAGCCTGGCATATAAGAAACAAAGAATAAGGTTGCCTTCCTGCAGAAATGATTCTTACCAACCATCCCACTCTCACACACATGTCATTTGTCACACACACTGTAGTAAGGCCAGGAATTCTTACTGTGAATGAGGAAGTTGAAACCAGAGGCTTCTCGGTGAGCCTAATTTAGTTCCTGATAGGTTTTATGTCAGAAAGACAGATTTATGGATCTTAAATACTATTTAGAATGGCTGAAATGCATTTCTTAGTATCTGGGGTAAGGAAAAGTTAAATTAAGATTTGCTAGTAGCTCACTGGATGGCTTGAACAGGTTTCTGATTCCTAACTGTTTAAAGAATCATTGAACAATAGCAGCAATTTTCTTCCACCTCCTTGTTCAGACTGTAATTAGACAGTTGTTGCTTGAATATGCCAATAACACAAGTGTATGGTTCACAGCTTATAGCAGGTAATTGTCGGTCCCCTAAGCCAGCATTTTGAAACCATGGCAACATAAAATGAGTGGACCTCAATTCCCAGAATTCCCCAGCTAGCATGGTCTAATAGAGGGGTTTCAAACTCAATTTAATTGAGGGCCGCATCAGGGTTGTGATTTATCTTGGGGGGCCAGGGGGGCTTGGCCAGCTTGATGTCACTCGTATCAGGGGCGCCTATGGTGGCCTGAGTGCTCTGCCAGAGAAAATGGGCTTCCAATCTCCATTTTCGGCTGGGACAGCCTCCTGCAACCCTCTGCCACTGAAACGGACCTTGAGAGTGCTCCGTATTCAGTGACAGAGGGTTGCAGGAGGCTGTCCCAGCCGAAAATGGAGATCGGGAGCCCGTTTTCTCTGATAGAGACACCACAGGCCAATCCTTTGCTCTTTCCAAGGCAGAGCCGCAGGCAGGATCTAAGCACCTGGACCATATCCAGCACCTAGGCTGGATATGGTCCCCGGGCCTTCAGTTTGACACCCCTGCTCTAATACATCATCTTTCAGAGTTGGAGGATTTTGAGCTTTTAGAAAAAAGCAGTACAGTCCCTATTGATCCATAGTCAGCCCAATCAGATTTGACTAACTTAGTGATCTAGATGTTAGAAGAGAGATCGTTAATAAATGTTTTCAGTGAACTGGACTCTTCCATAAAAGTGAATTATATATAAAAAAAGATCTTTGGTCCAGATGAAAACATAGCCAACCTATACCTTCACAGTATGGAGCTGTATCCATTGGTTAATCCAGAAAAATATATCCAATGTAAGCTTAATCAATTATTTATAAAAATAAATAAAAATAAAAAAATAATCACATCACTCATTTTGGCATGTTCACGTGGTTCTTGCACATCGAATAGGTTGCCATGCAATTATATATTGTCAAGAGTCACATTGTTTTTGCCACGCAACTTGTCTGCCATGAGCAAATATTTGCAATTCTAGATTAGAATTGATGTAACACTACCAAAATGTAGGCACCCTGGCTTAGCTCAGAGCCTCATTAAAAAGCTTCCTGAAAGACAGAAGGCAGTGAAGCATTTTGGAGTGTTTGGCTTGAGGGCAAGAGACACAGGGCAAGGAGGTAAAAGGCAAACAACCAGCGTTACCAGAAGATCCACTGGTAAAATAAAATGTAGCAAGAAGTTAGCATCTTCCAAAACCATTAAATGTCCAGGTTACATCTCAGAATGGCTACAGAAACAATATAGAATGGGAAACCCAAAAATGAAACTATGGACCTGTGACTATGACATCTTATGTACTAAAAATTGGGATCAAACGTTAACAAAAACTACCAAGGGCAGATTACTTCTCAGTAATGACATCCACTCTAAATTCTCATTTAGTATTTATGAACATCATCAGTTGTGGCCTCATAATGTTGCCAAATGAGATAGATTGGTCAATAAGTAGCAGAACAGCTAGCATCTCAGCAACCTATCTCTGAAAATGTGCATCTCTTTTAGCATTGTATTACCCATACAGGTTATGGGTAATAAGAACAGATGGTTTATGATTATATTTTAATTGAGTCTCATTTGCAATGCAGTGATCAGTAATAGGAGCAGGTACTGAATAGAGGAGAATACCTTAAATAAGGATGCTCCCATGCTAAAACTCTTTAGTACTGAGGAAGCATCGTTTTTTTTCAGTACAGGAATACGTTTTAAAACATGAAGGATCATGCAACACATTATACATTACCCAGCACTTCACTTAGCAAAGTCTTTTCCCATATTTTCCCATATTCCACAGCATTTATTCAAAAGCAATGTCTTTTGTGGCCTGTACATGTTAATAGAGCATGGGGATAATGCTGAGTATAAGCCTTCAGTTCAGGGGTGGGTTCTACTTACCTTTACTACTGGTTCGCAACGGGGCCGCGCGCACTCTTCTGCGCGTGCACAGAAGTGTTCTGATGACATCAGGGTCGGTGGGCGGAGCCTCCCACCGGTTTTACTACCGGTTCTATAGAAACGGTGCGAACCGGGGGCAACCCACCACTGCTTCAATTACCTCACTGCCATTTTGACTTCTCATTGGGAACTAAAACATTTCCTGACACTATGCATATTTCTTTGCTTTGTATAATACGGGAAGAGTTCATTTATAGCACTAGTTTACCATTCAAAAGAAAGAAAGAAAAAAAAAAGAGAAAATCAATAGTTAAAAAGTACCCCCATACACACATTCATATCAGCACTGGGGAAATTTAGGTAATGTGTTCAGGAAGAAAATGAAAATTATTGATTAAAAAACTAGATCAGCAGGAGACATTAACTGTTTGAACCTACAAAGAATATGCGCAAAACAAAGACCCCTTTGAAAAGTTTTCATAGTACTTTCCCTATTACTAATGAATATATTGCCATAACTGCATTTTATTTTTTTTAAGCAATAGTCACAAATTAGGTCGACAGTGTGTGTGAGAGAGAAAGCAATTTATACTGGAATGCACCTTGTTAAGAATAAAGTAATGCATACATTCAGATTTTTTTTTAAGTGAACAAATAGCTAGTTGCGGAAGCACTGGGCTATTCAGAGTGAAACAAGGTTAAAAATCCAGCAGCCTGTAAAGTTTTCTATCTTCATCTCCTCTTCAAAGTCCAGAGAAAGGTCTGGTGTGAAGGGCCAAAATTCAAATTCTGTATCGGAGAGACAAAAAGAGAGAGGGAGGGAGAGAAATTGTGTTACTCTAGTCTGCTAGCTACACGACAAACTTCTGCAATCCAGGGCTCTTTCACATATGTGGACTTCAACACCTAGACTTCTTAGCTAAGGCTATGATGGATTGGGCATTGGGGGTGGGTTAAACAATTTGGGGGAAACTGCTGCAAAGAATTGCATTCTCCACCCTTTATGAAGCAGTAGATCATTGCAGACAGCCATTGAAATCCAAGTTTCCTTTAGGGCAGGAGAGAAACTGGCAGACTTAGGCTCACTTCCACAGCTCAGATGGATCACTGAACTGGCCTGTTGCTTTGAAAAAAATAATAATATAAAGATCAACCCTCTTCATTTGGCAAAATATTTACTGTGCTACTACAAATACCAGCCCAGAAACCCAGCAAGGGCTGGCTTTTAGGAAAGCATTATCCTTTTATAGAATTGAATCACGAAGATGTGGTATTGTTGCTGAGAAACCTTATCCTCTAGTTTCAGCCCCATAAAACCACTTGGGCAACTTCATTAGCTATTGAGGGTGAATAGAGCAGTGAATATCCTGCTGTTCACTAAAGACCTTCCTGAAGAGGACTGGAGTACAAATCTTGTCATCAGGCTTGGAAAAATCTCAGGGTTTGCAGAAGTACAAAAATAGTTTTAAGGGTTTTATATAGCTAACGTAAAATACAATACAATAAGAAAGCAGTATATATATATATATATATATAAAACTTACATAAACATTATATATATATATGTCTTTTTCTTTTTCGTAGGCTTTTATGTGCATATTCTTTCTAGCCAGGTTTTACAGATTTCACAGAACCAGGGCTGTAGAACATCTTAGCTTATGTAGGTAAAACCTGGCTAGAAAGAATATGCACATAAAAGCCTACGAAAAAGAAAAAGACACATTGTACCTTTACAGGGAGGATACCTGAGAAGAGGGTGTGGCTCACTGATGACACCTTACAAGGCAGAAATAGCTATTTGAGTCTCCCAAAGAGCAGCACAGAGTTTCTGGTTGTCAGCAGAAAAAAAGCCCAGAAACTTGTGAATGAGATTTCACAGAACCAGGGCTGTAGAACATCTTAGCTTACGTAGGTAAAACTTGGCTAGAAAGAATATGCATATATATATATATATGTGTGTGTTGTGGTGTGTGTGTTGTGTGTGTGTGTGTGTGTGTGTGTGTGTCCCCTACTGATGAAAGCAAACGAGCTAGAAATGGATCTATTTAGGTCTCCCACCTAGCAGTTAGAGCTTGCTAGCTGTTAGAAAGGAAAAAAGCCCAGAACCGAGTAGATGTGATTCTACTGAGCTGGAGCTACAAAAAACTTGGCTACGTAGGGAAATATACGGTATATATATATACGTACGGTATATATATATATATTCTTTTCTTTTCGTAGGTCTTTATGTGTATTTCTCTGAAGAACCTGGCTAAAGAGAAATACATATGTGTGTGTGTGTGTGTGTGTGTCTTTGGTTATTCTGGTTTTCTCCCGCGTAAAATTGGAAGTGTCTTGGCGACGTTTTGATGAAGTCTCATTCGTCATCTTCAGCTGGTGTTTTCGGCTTCGGCTGTGTGAGCGTTTTTCTATCTCGATGGCTTCTCTGATTATTCTGTTGTTAAAATGTTCAGTTTTGGCGATAGTTCTGGTCTTTTTATCACCAAAACTGAACACTTTTAACAACAGAATAATCAGAGAAGCCATCGAGATAGAAAAACGCTCACACAGCATGAATAAACGAGATGATACCTCCTGCCTACCAGCCATTTGGAAACCCGCCCTCATTGACAAACAAGTCCCTAACACAAAGAATGACACCAGACCTACACTCACGGAAACCACACAGGATGTCACCACCACACATCCACGCAAAAAGCAAACCCACACCGATGAGGCATGACCACAAACCAGAAGCCAGACCACAGCTGCATCATTAGCCACTTTAAACCCCTCCAATCCATACATGAAGCAAACTGACACCTACCATGAAGATGTGGCACCACCATGAACGCGAAGCCAAACAACAGCAACTCAGCTCACCAGCTCAAATCCCCCTGCAACTCAGATTAACCCGAGCACAACCAAGCCCCCACCTAAACAGAACACACCTCCATCCAATCAGAGCACAGCCAAACCCCCATCCAATCAGAGCACAGCCAAACCCCCAACCAATCAGAACACACCTCCACCCAATCAGTTCACACCCCCACTGGCAGTTAAAAGGAAGAAACAGCTGCGATCACACATTGCTCCCAGAAGCACGAAGCCGAAAACACCAGCCTGAAGATGACGAATGAGACTTCGTCAAAACGTCGCCAAGACACTTCCAATTTTACGCGGGAGAAAACCAGAATAACCAAAGACATACATACATACATACATACATACATACATACATGCATACATATAAACCCCAATAAAATGCTAGCGAAGGGGAGATAGGTAGATGGGATTTGAGAGTGGGAGAGTGAGTGGGAAAAGTCAATGGAAAAGGTGGAACAGCTGGATCCCAAACACAGCTTCCTATGTAGGAAAACATTTTGCATGAAAACATTTTCCTTGTATAGAACTGGTGCTGATGATCTTTATTCATGCATTTGCATTCAGTAAAATAGTTATGAAAAGTAAGCATGGGGAGAACTTTATTGGGCTGTAGAGTTCCTTCACATTGCTATAGAAAATAGATAAATGGTGGGATATAGCAGCACAATGTTCTTCCTTCTCTTATTGATGAGAAGGGTGAAGTAAGAGAAAAGGCTCCAATCTATCCCCTCCCCCAATGCCAGTGTGTTGGCTTGTGCTTCAGACTACCTACATATATCACACTCCCTGCTATTCTTGTTCTTAAACATGAATATACATTCTACTCCTGCCAAAAGCATTCTGTTCTATACACCTTCTTAGTACTAAACTGAGGAATTTCCCTGCAATTTTTTTCCCCAACTGGTTTCACTTGATTTCATAAAAAAGTATTTGCTTTGGAAACTCTGAACGAAGAAGAGAATTTAGAAATATTTTTTTAGCCACAATATAAGTTTCATTACAGTTTAGACAAGGGGTGTCAAACTCAAGGCCCACATGCTGTATCTGGCCCTTGGGGTGCTTATCAGGCCCCCAGAGCCACCCTGGAAACAGTGAAGGACAGGCCCACGGTGCCTTGGCCTGGCCCAGGGTTGGAGGAGGCCATATCTGAAAGAGGCCTTAGCAGCCGATAAGGGAGTTTGGGAGGACTCTGTGCAGCCCTCCTGAGCTCTGTTTTCACTGGTAACATGCTTGAGGCGGCCATGGCAGATGAAAACAGAGCTTGGGGTAGCCGCGTGCTGGCCACGCCCACCCCAGTCACACCCACCCCCCTGAGATCAAACACAACCCTGATGCACCCCTCAATGAAATTGAGTTTGACACCCCTGTCTTAGACCAACCACCAGTGGTGGTATTGACTTACCTTCACTACCGGTTCACAAATGTGAGCGCACGTGCTCCCTCGCTCGCTTCACTCGTGCACGACACCTCTGCGCATGCACAGAACTTTCTGCACATGCGCACAGCATCAAAAACGGGATGTGATGACGTCCAGGCAGGTGGGTAGAGCCTCCCATAGCTGCCGCTACCGATTCGCCTGAACCGGATAGAACCGGCTGAATACCACTACTGCCAACCACTATATATAAAATATACTTAGAATTTCCTACAATATTTATATAGTGAAAGGGTAGGCAAAGTGGATGTATGCCTATATATAAATGTCTTGTTCTTTATTATACATACAATCATCTATCCAATGGTTTTCAGCTTCTCTGATGTTCCATGTTTCAGTTAAATCCTGGGGAAATATATCACAAGACAATTTCTCCACTGGGACTTTAGCAATTGCAGTGTGACTGTCATTACTAAGGGGATGTTTACAGAGAAGTTGTTTCCTCTTCCCTGGAGAGGTTTGGAAAAATCTTCTGAATCAACTTTACTGTGAATAAATTGAGCAGAGAATTTCGGAAGGGCGTGTGCGCCCAGTGATACATCTGTGTGTCAACTACCATCCACTGCTTCACTGACAATCCTTGATCAGAGATGGTGAGTCTAGCACAACGAATTGTAATGCAACCCATCTGCAGAGTACCATGTGGCAAAGCTGATGTGTGGATTGTGTGTGCAATGAAGCCTGTGGGCTTTTTTTAACCTCGTGTCAAATTATACTGATTCTTTCATTCCAGGCTCAAGTTTATATCATCCAGACTTCTCATATGCATTGGTCCTTTGTAGAGTTTGGAGGAATGAGTTTTCAGATGTCTGGCACATCAAATCACAGCAGCTTTTCCACAGCACATTAATGGAACCATATATACTGCTCAAAAACATAAAGGGAACACAAGCAGAAGACATCCGAGATCTGAATGAATGAAATAGCCTTATTAAATACTTTGTTCTTTACATCCAGTAGTTTATACACTGCTCAAACAACTAAAGGGAACACAAAACTACTGTATGTAACGAACAAAGTATTTAATAAGGCTATTTCATTCATTCAGATCTTGGCTGTCTTCTGCTTGTGTTCCCTTTATTTTTTTGAGCAGTGTATATTTTTTCCTGCTAAAATCACAACAGTAGCACATTAATAACTTTCTAATATTTTCAAGTCCCGTGGTAAGGAATCATGCTGGTATTGATCCATTCTGGAAGCACAAGCAGGGAGCCTTTTGATACTTACCCCTAAAGGATGTTGCACCCCCTTTTCTTGGTCTTTGTAGGTTGTGGACAGAGAACTGCTCGAATGGCCTCATCAAACACTGTTTTCAGGCCACGCTGAGTGAGGGCTGAACATTCAAGATACTTCACTGCATCTGCAAAGAGAAAAAGCTCACTCTCTGAGGAAGAAGCAGAAATGAATACATTCTCTCACTTGTCCTGATATCAGGTTTGGCATCTCTATGGACAGCAGAGCTATTTAGGAATGTAAGAATATAAGAAAAGACTAACACCAAAGCCCTGTCACATGAAGATGGCTTATGTAGAGTCTGTGAAAAGGGAAATATAGATTGTTTTCCCAGAAAACATGAGTTTGCACTGGTAAAGACTCTTCAGAAAGAGAGCAGACTTTCAGCTTTTGCTGGTGTGTCCCCAGAATACAGGACAGGAAAAGGAAGTTGTGGTTCAACATTATTTCAAGAGACAGAAGGCAAGTTCCGGATACAGAAAGTTCAGAAGACGAGGGGGAAAATATCAGCATTCTGATATTCTGAGTTAAAGCCCTAATCTTAATCTTAACTGCAAGAAATCTGATACCACTTTAACCCTTATATATAGATCACTGGGGGTTTTGCACACAAACCAGCAAAGTTGTACTAACAAGGTCTGAGCACGAGTGAGTATAAGTTTTCTAGTGTATTCATAGAAATAAACAAATGGGGTTTTTTTAATGGCCATGGTTTTTCAAATACATGGCCACATACATCTTATTTTTTAATACAGAAAAATGTGCATTTTAGTGGACTTTCTTCAACATTTTTTTTCTTTCTAAATTCTCAACACACACATTCATGCCTACATTTTCTGAAGCGGTACTGGATTACATAATTAGGAAAAGTGTGAAATTTCAGAGATAACTGCTTTCTGATTTGCATAACAGTTCAGAACTGGTTTCCCATTAAAATGTGAACAAAAAAAAAAAAAACAACCACAAAAAACTTGAGCATCCACATCTTGGGGACCAAAATATTCAAGTTAACATTTCCTTGGAGCAACTAAAGTGAGAGTTATCTTGGAAAAACTTTCTTCCCTTATCTGTCATGCATTGTTGCTATTTTAGCCCAGCATACAGCAAATACTACTGTTCTCCTTATCTGAATTGTCCTTTTGATTTAATGAATTGTAATATTTAATCCAATGCTGGATGAAAATGATTCCATGCTACTGAGACACTTAAGAGGATTCATCACAGCCTCCTTCAAGGAAAAGAAGACAAATCCTCTTTCCCAGAAGCAGACACCACTGTAAAAGCCCCATCAAAGGTCACCTTCTGGATCTAATAAATAAATAAAAGATGGGAACAGAACCAATAAAGGCAGGATAGAGATTAGCACTGCTAATTTGTGACAGCTGTATATTTTCTGCCAATTCAAGGATACAATAGATGAATAGGACTTAATAGTTAGAAAGTGCTCTGTTCTATCAAAAGGAAAAAAGAAAAAAGAGGGTTTGTGAGCTTGGTAGACAATATTTACATGCATTTGCCTTTCTGAATTTCTCAGCTGCTTTCTAGCTCTTATATCTGCACAGGTTTCTGCATATTGCACCAAAGTTAGTTTCTAAAGGCTAAAGTGCAGAAAGTGCAAAATAAACAAGTCAAAGAAAAACAGATAGAAGATAAATACCAACCTAGTCTAAATAATGGATAGGGATGTCTGACTGCATTTGATTGGTTTGAGAGAGATGGGCAATTGAACTGGCATAAGTGAAACCAGCAGCAACACTTACCAATCTCTTTGGCTAGGGCAAGACCTTGTGGGTAAGTAATAGGGGCCAACTTCTTTTCCTTCAGCTTCTCAATAGTATCTTTGTCATCCCGGAGATCCAGCTTCGTGCCCACCAGGATCATGGGAGTGCTAGGGCAGTGATGTCGTACTTCAGGGAACCACTAAAAGAAAGTGCAAGATTTTATTGAAATAGCAAACAAAACAATGATGCAAAACAGCGGGTTGACAAATGAAAAAGCAGGTGAGCCATTTGCACCAATGCAGCCTTTTTAAATAAGGACTAGAAATTAAATGCCCAGGTTTGTAATAATACACAGGAAATAGAATTTGGAAATAGCAGTTGATAACAAGATGAATATGAGTCACAGTATATAATATAGCTGTTGAACCAGAGAGAGTTGATTCTGATTGTGGTGGGTATAAATGTTATAATCATTTAGCAAATGCATCTTGGCTTACATCCACCAAAGTATATTTATTTGATCAATTTATATAGCTGCCCATCTCACAATTGTAATTCTGGGAGATATACCTGGGTTTAAAAAACCAGACAATGGCATCAGAAAACAAACCCAATTCTGATCATAAAAAAAATTTACAATGAAGGGCTCACTTAATCCCTAGATACTTTGAAGAAGGATCCAGACAAACTGGAACTGTTACAGAGAAGGGCAGCTCTACCTAGCCTCATACTCTAGTGTTGCTGAACCCTGTTTGTAGACCAGGGGCTTCCAACTCGATATCATTGAGGGCTACATCAGGGTTGTGTTTGAGCTTGAGGGGGCCAGGTGGGCATGGCTAGCTTGACATCACTCAAGTCGGAGCCACCTTCGTCCAAGTGCTCTGCCAGCGAAAACCGAGCTCTGTTTTTGCTGGCAGAAAGTTGCAGGATGCCATTGCAGCTCCATTTTTGCTGGGAGAGGCATCACAGGCTGGTCCTTTGCTGTTTCCAGGGAGGCCCCACGGGCCAGATCTAAGCACCCCATGGGCTGGATCCAGGCCCCAGGCCTTCAGTTTGACACTCCTATTGTGGACTATGATGCAACCTCTGATAGATTTGAAGAGTTATGTTGATGTAAAGCAGACTTCATCCAATACATCCTTCAGATTTGGTTACCAGAATTCTTTGATTACCAGAATTCCCAGGCAATATGGAAAATCCAAGATAGCCATGGGAAAAGTTAGGCGTCTTCATTCAAAATTTTCAATGAAATCTTTCACATCAGTCCAATTTATACAGTGCATGAGGATCCAAATATTTTACTGTCACTGTATATTTTTCATACTACAACAATACCAAGATTGAGTCTTCTCTTGCCTCACTTGCTCTGCACACAGAACCCCGGATGATCTCACCTTAGCACGAACATTTTCATAAGATGCAGGGCTGACTAGAGAGAAGCAGATGAGAAAGACATCCTGTAGGCAGAAGAGAGGTGAAAAAAATAATATGAAATCATATTTGGTGCAGCCAGGGGGAAAAAAAAGTCACATTATGAAGCGGAATGTACCAAAAATTGATATACATTGTTGCTCAAGGGCTTAAAGCATTTTACAGAACATTTCTGCAACTCTCACAACAACCCTGTAAGCTACAGAGGTATTGTTAATAAATATTTAGTCCAGTGATTTTGGTTGGTTTGCATCTAAAGAATTTTGAATCTTTAAAGGTAAAGGTTCCCCTGCATATGCATGCTAGTTGTTCCCAACTCTAGGGGGCGGTGATTTCAAAGCCAAAGAACCAGCGCTGTCCGAAGACGTCTCCATGGTCATGTGGCCAACATGGCTAAACACCGAAGGCGCACGGACCATTGTTACCTTCCCACCAAAGGTGGTCCCTATTTTTCTACTTGCATTTTTTACATGCTTTCAAACTGCTAGATTGGCAGAAGCTGGCACAAGTAATGGGAGCTCACCCCATTACGTGGCGCTAGGGATTTGAACTGAACTGCTGACCTTCTGATTGACAAGCTCAGCATCTTAGCCACTGAGTCACCGCATCCCTTTTGAATCTTTATTGAATGCTTTATGAAAAGAAAGGACTTTTGAAACAAGGAACAGTACACAAAACCTAGATTTATTATATAGACATGAAAGAATTACTTCTTCCACTAATAAATCAATATCCACAATACTAAAAAAGCAAAAGTATCACATTATCTTAGTTTACAAGAATGCCTCTTGAAGAAGCCATCTTTTGATAAGGCATGTGCTGGTGGTTGCCATTTTCCACAAGCACCTCTAACAAGTTCACAACTATGCCCACAGGTTGAAAAAAACTAGCTAGTTTATCTAATCAAGATTATCTCAGAAAAATCTTGATTTGATGCTTTCTTCATGTAATCATCACCTTCTCCATCTGAGAGTTATATTTAATATTATATTGTACAGTACTTATTATCAGTTAGAGAAGCCTGAGGATTTTGTCCAGGAATCTTGAAGGGCCTCCTTAAATTATGTAAATATAATCTTATTTCCATTTTAAAAAGTGAGAGCAAAGGCTCTCTAAAGTCCTGGATCAACTGGGTAAAACTATTAAACATTCTGATGTTTTTTTTTTTTTTTTTTATAGCTGTGATGACTGTTACAGAATATTTTGCACTGCCACCATTGAATGTAATTAGGATTTTGGAGGCCCAGATATAATATACACTTTGTTAATATAATATTGTCTCCTGGTGAGGATGTGGAGCTATCTCATTGCCATTGATTTCTTTCAGAATGCTCTTTTAAAATCTCCACTCTAGTCTACAGTCTAATGATTTGTTGATGGTCTCCCATCCAAATGTTGACTAGATCTACTTATGTTGACTAGTTCTAACAACCTAGAACTAAGGAGAAAAGCAACCTAGAACTAAGGAGAAATTTCCTGACAGTTAGAACAATTAATCAGTGGAACAAGTTGCCTCCAGAAGTTGTGAATGCTCCAACACTAGAAGTTTTTAAGAAGAGATTGGATAACCATTTCTCTGAAATGGTATAGGGTTTCCTGCCTAAGCAGGGGGTTGGACTAGAAGACCTCCGAGGTCCCTTTCAACTCTGTTATTCTACACTCCTAGATAGGGTTTTTTTGGAAATCAGCTAAGGCTAGGAAGAAGCTGTCATATGTGTGCTAACAAGGAATTATGAACAAAGCTCTTCAGAAGTAAGTAAGGCTGTCAAACAAACTTAACGCACTGTAAGCCGCCCTGAGTCTCCGGAGAAGGGCGGCATATAAATCAAATCAAAAAACAAAAAAACAAAAAACAAATCTGGATGTCTACTAACTAAGGAGAACTATGGCTCTTTGCAGCTTCTACTGGTAATCTCGACTATTGGATTTTTGTAGTCCATATCAAATAGCCCTAAGCAATTAGACAATATTTCAGAGAAAATTCATGACTTACAGTCTGTGGATAGGAGAGAGGCCTCAAGCGGTCATAATCCTCCTGGCCAGCTGTATCCCATAGTCCCAGGTTTACAGGTTTGCTATCAACCATCACATTGGCAGAATAATTATCAAAGCTGTAATAGATATCAAATAGATATAGTGACATTAGAGGGAGAGGGATCTTACTCTTTCCTAGACTGAAATCCTAATTCAGGAGAAAAGGTATGGTTCTCTCCAGGGTGCTAACAGGTATGTCTCTCTTGGCACCATCAGACTCTTTGGTTCACTTGATTTTATTTCATAAACATTAAATGGAAAGTTTGGATTCTGTAAATCCCATTGGCACCGTCGGATGCAGCATGAGGTGCCAAAGGTATTCTATGAAAATAGAGGATGTGTTAGAAACTGGATCTAGCCCAATAACTCAAAGACATAGCCCAATTTTTTCAGTAGTTTTATTGTTGATCAGTTGGTACTGGAGGTCACTGACCTTGTACCTTTCTCTTTCAGGTATACATCTGGAATGATCTGTGGACCATGCGGTTGGACCTTTTGTACCCAGGAGGAGGGGTCAAGAGGTAAGGAGTGGTTATAAGGATTATGGGATATGTGGTTAGTTAACCCTTGATGGTCCGGGGGATCAGGGAGACATGGCAGTTAGGCATTTTATCATGACAAAACCCCCTCTAAATGCCTAACTGGGTACCTGAGGCGGTGTTAGCATACATACAGAGAATACACTGGTACAGGCATGAATTATAAGCAAACACGCATTTTTGACATGAGGTAAGCATGTTGTTTATGTGGTAAGGGTTTAGTGAGAATATCTGCTGTTTGCTCCTCTGTGTCACAGTGCACTGCCCTAATGAAGCCTATCTCTGAAAACTGCCTGACGTGTTTGTATTTAATGTCAATGTGCCTAGAACGCTGACCTATGGCATCGGCCCTAGAGATTTCTATCGCTGCCTTGTTGTCTTCGTGGATAACTATTGGATATGAGGGTTCAGCCCAGATGTCGCAGAGCAGGTCATCGAACCATACTAAATTGTTTGCGGCCTTTGATAGGCAAACAAATTCTGCTTCCGTGGTTGATGTGGCCACCAGCTTTTGCTTTCCAGTGTACCAGTGGATGGGGCAATTGTTGAGTAGTAGCACGTAGCCTGAGGTGCTTTTTCTGCACTCTATGTCCCCAGCCCAGTCGGCGTCAGCGTAGCAGGTCAGCTTTGGTTCCTTGGATGTTTCTGGTTCTAGGCAGAGTAGGGCATCTGCACTAAATTTTAAGTATCTAAGTAGTCTTTTGATGGCGTTCCAGTGTGTTACCGTAGGTTTGCTTACATGTCTGGACAGCAGGTTGACGGCCAAGGCGATGTCGGGCCTGGTCCAGTTGGATATGTACAGCAGTGACCCTATCGTTGATCTATATAGTTTGTTGTCTGTGAAGGGTTCAGATTCCTCATACATGGTTTTCAGGAACTCGGGTTGCATGGGGGTCTCGCTGGGTTTTGCTTCGGACATGTTGCATTTGGACAGCAGCTCGATGATCTTTTCTCTCTGGGAGAGTCGGAAGCCCTTGTTGGTTTTTATTACTTGGACCCCTAGGTATCTGTCAATCTTTCCAAGTGACTTTAAGGAGAAGTGGCTACCTAGGTCGGTGGCGAACTTGTCACACCTGTCCTTGTGCTTGCTGATGTACAAGATGTCGTCCACGTAAACGAGCACACCTTCGAATGAGTCGTTTTCTCTCCTCGTAAAGAAGCATTTGTCAGCTGAGGTGGCCTCGAAGCCCATGGATCTGAGGGCCTTGGCCAAGCAGTCGTACCACCTTTTGCCCGACTGCTTGAGCCCGTACAGGCTTTTGTTCAGCAGCCAGGTTTGGTTCTTGTCTTTGTTGTACCCAGGCGGGGCTTTGACGTATATTTCCTTATCCAGCTCGGCGTGCAAGTATGCTGTTTGTACGTCGAATTGGAAGACCTCCAAGCCCAGGATGGTGGCCACCACCAGGGCGCTCTTGACGCTCTCTGCCCTGACGGTTGGCGAGTAGGTGTCCGTATAGTCTTCGGGGTATCTTTGGGCGAAACCCTGCGCGACTAGTCTTGCCTTGTATAGGACCTTGTTGTCCTCTAATGTTTTAACCCTGAACACCCATTTGGTTCCTATTGGTTTTTTGTCCTCTGGAACTTGGGCAGGTGAGTATACCTGAAGGTCCTTTAGGCTTTCCATCTCCTTCTCCATGGCAAGCATCCATTTTTCTTTCTCCTCCCGGGGGAGCTCGAGGATGTCTTCGTATGAGCTGGGCGTGAAATGGGTGTTGTGGATGGTCATAACGTAGTCCTCTAGCTTCTTTGGTAGCTTGTTTCTGGTTTCTCTGATTGGCCTACTGGGGGTTGGCTCGCTTTCCTGCATGATGTCTGCCTCTTTGTCCGTCAGGTCATCTATCTTTAGTGAAGGGTGCCCTTCTTTCCAACCTTTGACGCTTGTCTTGCGATGGTTGGCCTTGTGCCCTGTGACCTCTCTGACCTCCCTTTCCTCTTGGCCATGTTCGAACGTGACTCTATTGGCTGGGATGTCGTTGGAGTGAACCCTCGACCAGTTTGCGTTTTCGTGGAAACTGGCTGATCTGGAAACCACAAAACGGTTATTGTTGTCGACAAATCTGTAGCCCTTTGTGCCCGGTTCGTAACCCACGAACCTTAACCTTTTTGATAATTTTTCCCCTTTTCTTCTTAGCTGTCTGGGAATGTGGACATCAGCTGGGGCGCCGAATATGTGTAAATGTGCGATGTTGGGCTTTCTGTTGTATAGCATCTCGTATGGTGTCTTATTGATAGAGCTTGACCACAGTCTATTCAGGGTGTAATTAGCGTAGTGTATTGCCTCTGACCAGAAATGCTGCCCCATCCCAGCATCCTCCAGGGCGCATCTCATCATGGTTTGCAACACTCCGTTCTTTCTCTCTGAGACTCCATTTTGAAAAGGAGAGAAAGGTGAAGAGGTGTAATGCGCTATGCCCTGCTCCCTCAGCCACCTTGTGAATTCTTTGGCCATGAATTCTGACCCCCTATCAGTCATTATCTGCCTTATTTTCATGTTATGTTGCATATCTACTCTTCTGTGGAATTCCTTAAACCTTTGGAACACTTCGTTTTTGTGTCTGAGGGAGTAGACATACCCGTATCTGGTGTAGTCATCTACAATCGTGAGGAAGAATCGCTTCCTATGTCCTACAGAGGGTTTCATTGGCCCTACCAAGTCCATATGCACCAATTGGAGGGGTATTCCGTGGTTCGTTTGGATCCCCTGGGGATGGCCTTAACCTTGATCTTGGAACGCTTACAAACTGAACACTCTAAGTAGTTTTCGCAGTTCTTTACTTTGAGACCTTCGGTACATTCCGTCATTTTCTTTACAATGGGGAAGCTTATGTGTCCCAGTCTCCTGTGTAGGAGGTGGGCGCAGTTATCATGTAATGGTTTGCCGATAGATACAGACTTGTTTGTCTTCTCATGGCTACACCTGCCTCCTGCTGCACCCCCTCTGTTTCTGGATACTTATCTACCTCGTGGTTTGTGCTGGCATCAATGCTTTCTTCCTCCTTGCGTTGGGTGTGAAGTAGGGAAGCCCCTCGTGTATGGTTACCTTTCCTATCTCTTTCCCTTGCTTGATCAAGTGTGCCTTTCCATCCTTAAATTTTATTTCTATATTTGTGTCTCGTGTCAGCTTTGTGATGGCTAGCACGTTGTGGGGGATTTCTGGTACGTACAGTACTCCTTTTAGGTCCCCTACCTGTGTGATGTGTACGTTTCCCTTTCCCACTACTTTGACCTTGCTTTGGTTTGCTACCTTTACTTCTGATTCTATTTCTGTGAGTGAATCTAGCAGCTCTGGGTTACAAGTAGTGTGACTTGTGGCCCCTGAATCCAGGAGCCATGTGTTTCTCTCTGCCTTATGTTTGTCATTTGGGTCATCGTGCCTGATCCCATACATGGAGCCAGAGTTACTGTCCCTGGAGTGGTCTCTGCGCTCATGGTGTTTCCTGGGGTTGGGTGACCACCCTCGCCCTCTTTCCTTTGGGTGCCTGCGTTCGGGTGACCTTCCCCCTCTACTGTCGTGTTGTCCCCTATCCCTATGGTTCCTGGGGCAATCCTTCTTTAAGTGGTTCCTTGATCCACAAGAATAACATTCTGAGGTATCCCTGGCCCTATCCTGGAAATCCACCCTTTTTGTGGGTCTAGGGTCCCTTTGGCTAGTTGGCGTTCCCTCCTCAGAGTGTCCTCTGCAACGAGCTGACTGGTCAGTGCGCTTAGTGTGAGGTATTGCAAGTTGAGGCTATTTAGTTGGGTCATGAAGATGTCCCAGCTGCTATCAAGAGAGTTTATGATTATGCTTATCATGCTCTCTTCAGTGATGATTTCCCCCCTCTGCATGAGTTCTGCCCTTGCAGCATTCATCTTTAAGATGTGCTCACTCATGGGGACCCCTGCCTTATGCTTGGTAGAGTGGAACTCCCTAGATAGCCTAGTGGTGGTGGCTCTGCTTTGACTATAAAACAGGTTACATAGTTTTTGCATAATATCATAAACAGTTAGATTGTCCTCAATAGATGGATACATAGCAGATGGAATGGAGGTTAACATGATACAAAATGCCCTGTGATGAATGCAGTCAATTTCCAATGACCAGGGCTTTTGGGGAGGTTTGTTAGCTAGGAACAGTGCATTCTCTCTCATGAGAGCAACCCTTAATTGTTGGCTCCATTCTATAATATTACCCCCATCTAACTGCAGTTTTGGCAAATTGGCATAATTTGCCCCAGAAATGTTAGTAAGGTTACTTACTGGGGGGAGCTGTCCATGGTCCAAGTTGTGATTAAACTCACAATAAGGCTTTGGGATGTCTGTGGCCATTCTGTACTTGCTTGGATCTATGCAATTTGCTTCTCTTATTACAGGCAGGTACTGGGCATGCGCGAAGCTCATTCCGCGCTGGAGTCCATCGGGTGAGGTTCCTGTTGCTGGAGCTCCCAGGCCTAGGCCTAGGCCTGTCGATGGGAGGCTGGACCCGCCCCGGTGGGTCCGAAGATCCCCCCTGAGGCTGGACACCACTGCTGGACGGCCGGATCCCGGCGAAGAAGGGGAGAAGGTGAGGGGGCGACGCGGTCGTAAGTCGAGGACTTTCGCGGGTCGGCGGCGCGGCAGCAGCGGAGGTCCGTAGGTCGAGGATTCCCTGCACCCAGCGGCTCGGCGGCGATGGCGGCGACGGCGGCTGATCCTCCCTCGTGGTCGCTGGTCCCTGGTCGTGTGGACTGGCCTGATGGGTGTCGTGGCGCTGGTGAGTAGCCGGTTCTTCTTCTCTGCCTCGGGCCTCGCGTTGCCGGTGTAGCGGGTGGTGAGTTCGAATCCTGCGGTTGATTTTTCCTGCAGGTGGGCGGTCTTTTGTGCCGGTTGTTGGTGTGCGCGGTGTTTTTAGCTGGCTGTGACTCGGTTGCCCGGTCTTTGTTGGTTGTCCTGGCCTTCTTGTGCCCTCCAGGATTTCTCTTTGATTTTTTGAGTGCTGCAGGGGGCTCGAAAGCGGAGCCTAGGGCAGCGGTGATGGTCTCGATTGCCTTTTGCAATTCGAGATCGGTAGGCGTTTTTCTTTTTGTTATTGCGATCTCTTCGTGGTCGCTCTCAGAGCTGGGCTCTTCGTAGTCGCTTTCTGAGCTCCCCTCGTCTGTTTCGGGGTTCGGGCATTTTCGCGCCAAGGGATTCAAATCCTGGCTTCCCATTGGCTGGTGCTCGTCCCAAGATGGCCGCCGGGAAGTGGGCACGGAAATGGATTCTGCCGGCTCAGGATCATCGGGTTGGGGTGGCTTACCCTTTTTTGCTGGCTTTTCTTTCTCGGTTGTTTTTGGGGCCTCGATCGCTGCTTCTTGTTGTTCGAAGAGGCTTTGAAGGTCCGCGATGAGGTTTTCTTTGTCGCTGTTTCCCTCCATCAGTTTCAGGATGGAGAGTTTGAATTTTTTCATTTTTTGTGTTGTTTCTTCTTCCGGGGCGGTGATCTCCTTGGATGGCCCCTCTTCGTCTGATTGTGAGTCCAGGCTGGAGTCCTGCTCGCTCCCAGCTTCTGTCTCCTCCATGGCTGTGGCTTTGGTTGGAAGCTTCTCAGCCATCTTCTTGGTAAGAGCTCTGGTCTGTGCTCTGTTTGCTTCTTCTGGGTAGGTGTTGGGTTCAGTCATTGTCTGGAGTTATGGGCAACCGACCTCTGCTACCAATTTGTTAGAAACTGGATCTAGCCCAATAACTCAAAGACATAGCCCAATTCTTTTCAGTAGTTTTATTGTTGATCAGTTGGTACTGGAGGTCACTGACCTTGTACCTTTCTCTTTCAGGTATACATCTGGAATGATCTGTGGACCATGCGGTTGGACCTTTTGTACCCAGGAGGAGGGGTCAAGAGGTAAGGAGTGGTTATAAGGATTATGGGATATGTGGTTAGTTAACCCTTGATGGTCCGGGGGATCAGGGAGACATGGCAGTTAGGCATTTTATCATGACAGGATGGTTCATCTCAGTGATTTCTTTATGTGTGGGCTCTTGGTACAAGTACAACAATGGAGATATTCTGGAGTGCTAGTGAGCAATCTGGAAGATCAGGGTGCCTACAGGGAGGAACTCAAAAGAAGTTTGCTAAATGGTGCCACCATCTTGACTTAGAATAGAATAACAGAGTTGGAAGGGACCTTGGAGGTCTTGAAGTCGGAGCAGGGATTTAGGCTAGAAGACCTCCAAGATCCCTTCTAACTCTGTTATTCTATTCTAAGTCAAGATGGTGGCACCATTTAGCAATCTAAACTCCTTTTGTGCTCCTTTTATATGTGTATTGCACATAAGCAGCATGGCTCAGATTGCATTTTTATGACTGCCATCTTGAATTTTTTATACCTACCCACCCCGCTTCTGGAAGTTCTAGAAAAAAATCACAGCACCTAGCATCTCTAAGCTGTTTTTGGGGAAATGGTTATTTTGTGACTGCTCATGCTTACAATCTCATTTCAAATTAGATGCCTGTTTATGTACCTTATTTTTAGTTCTTTCCCTTCTTAAGCAATAGTTATCCCCAACATATAATGAAACGGACACTAAACTAAACCAATCATTTTCATAAGATGTGAAGCCTAGTTCTATATTAAATCAGTATATTAGAATCTATTGAGGGTGCAATACCAAAATGAAGCTACTGCATGTCTCTTTACTATCACTTTTCCTAAATGTATTGGCAGGGACAACTCCTCTTCTAAGAGTTCTGATCCTAAGAAATTTGATGAGCACATTAATTAATCTATTATTCTATCCCCAAAATGCATAGAATGGATGCAAATAATTTCTTAATCAAATTAATTTGTTTTTCTTAACATTCCCGTCTCGGAATATTACAATGCTGAATGCTCTGGGTTCATGGAAACCTGATCTTATGTTGTGCTGATATTATTTACCCAGCAAAGTTGCATTTCCTTCAGAAACAGGAATCCTAGTGAGATCTAACTCTTTCAAATCCAACAATCTCAAGCTAAACCATTTCCATACTCACACAGTAGGAATATATTCTCCTGGGAATGCATTGGTGGTGTAGCTGATCAGGAGACAAGTTTTACCTACAGCTCTGAAGGAGGGAGAAAAAAAGGGAAAAGACATATAACAACAGTTCTTTTTAAAATAGGCTTCAGGAGTAGATTTAGAGAGACACTTTGCTTATGAATGAAGTTCCTGATTAAATGATTTGCATGGCAGTATTACAATGGTGTCCAGAAATTGAACTATGGTGTCCAGAAATTGAACTATGGTGTCCAGAATTGAATTTAAATTGCCAAGGTTGAGAAACACTGTCCCAGTATCATGTCAAACACGAGAGATAGAAGCATGAAGCATGTAGGTAAGAACAACTTTAATCTCTCTTAAATATAGGTGGGAATGAGATGAAGGCATCTTCAAGAAAACGAGCCAAACAAACAAAACGAGAAAGAGATTACCAGGCCATGTTTATTCTATGCTTAGGTACTAGTGAAGAAAATTCATTAACATCAGGAAGGAACAAGAAGCAAGTTGCCACTTCCCCTTTCATTCTTTAGTTTTAAAAAATGTCACCCAATTGCTTAAGCCAACCTTCTCTGGCACACTTGAGACATGGTTGTCTATAGCTCAATCAAGTCCAGCCATGTTTATTTCAGATAATCACAGTTGTGTCCAAGATACCCAGAATCTATCAGATGGATGAAAATTGCTTTGTGCAATTCCCATTATGCTATACGGTATAAACTTTTCACATAGTTGTGGAAGGCATGCTAAGACCAAGAATGCAGAAACACTCTTTTATTAAACCCTGTGCAATTAGTAAATGTTATCCATGTTCAGAGCCTTTCTAAAAATCTGGTAAAAATAAAAAATGATGTCAGACCCAAGGGCATAAAAAGGCATGGCAAGTTGAGCATGAATGTGTCCTTTTGGATGGTTTGAGCAAACAGGATGATCCAAAGGAAAATGTAGTTTAGAAGGTATTTCCCACCAGCTCATAGTCTAGAACAGCGATGGCTAACCTTTTTTTCCTCGGGTGCCAAAAGCACGTGCCCACACCCATAATGCAATGCCCCTCCCACAACCCCGCACCCAGCACATGTGTGCATGACCCCCCCCGTGCATGTGCATGCGACCCCCACCCTCTTCCCCCTCCACACATGTGTGCACGACCTCCCCTTTTGGCCTCACATCCCAAAACAGTGCTGGGGGGGTGAACCCTTGCCTCCCAAAACAGCTGGGGGGGGGGAAGCCTCCCAAAACAGCTGGGAGGGGGGGAAAGCCTCCCAAAATGGCTGGGAGGGTGGGAAAAGCCTCATGTCCAAAACAGTGCTGGGAGGGGAATCTCCAGAGATCTGGGAAGGCACAGGCAGCAGAAAGTGAGGAGAAAGGTAGGTCCCCCCCGCATGCACGCGCATCTCCCGCTTGCAGGGGAGATCCAAAAATCAGCTGGCCAGTGAGAAGCGTGTGTGCATGCACACTGGAGCTGAGCTGGGCGACGGCTCGTGTGCCAGCAGAGGGGGCTTCGTGTGCCACCTGTGGCACATGTGCCATAGGTTCACCATCACGGGTCTAGAAGGTACCATGATGACTGTTAGATAGGAACTAGAAGGAAGAGCTACATGTGTTTCTAGACAACCATCTGTCTGTAAAGTTATTTTTTAAAATCTTGTAAAATATCCAGCTTGCCCTATGCTAAAAAATGACAAAAGTGATTTTTGCATCATCTTGGGAGGGCACCGGATTGGTAAAGCTGTTCTAAGGTATTCATCCTCAGCTCTCTTAATTAAAAATACACTAGGCTGGCATTTGTGGAGTTTATATCGAGATAACCCTCCTTGGGATTCAGCTGAAATATTTGTAGAGTTTCTAACCAATAAATGGAATTGGCTTTAAAAAGATGTTCTCATTTTGTTCCTACATGAACATGAGAATGGTGTGTGAGAATGGTGGTGGTAGTAAAAATAACGATAATAAATCATATGTATTTGTACCAAGTCATGGTATGAGCAAAGAAATCCAGTAATTACAAATATTTCATGCAATACAAAAATGCTCAGAACTTAATGAGCAATTGAACAAATATTTAGACTTTAAACAGCCACCTGGGATTGTACCACAACACATATTTACACTATGTTTCTATCTATCTATCTATCTATCTATCTATCTATCTATCTATCTATCTATCTATCATCTATCTATCTATCTATCTATCTATCTACCTACCTACCTACCTACCTACCTACCTACCTACCTACCTAGTTTAGCTACCTAGCTACCTTCTCTATGCCCCTCTCCCTCCCTCCTTCTCTTTCCCTTCTCAATAACCAGAACATGGCAGCAAGAATTGCAATATTAACATTTATAGGAATTGCAAAAGAGTAGGGTGGAATAAAGAAACTCTACATTAACGCACAAATCAGATTAAAGGGCCTGAAATCCTTTTTGAAATCCATACAACTTTCATAGATATGAAGGAACAGAGGAAACTCATTTTAGAATTATGGGCCCATCATTGGGATTGCAGCATAAGAGCAGATAAGGAGGGCTTGAGACCAGCAAGCTAAAAAAAAAAAAAAAAAAAAAACCCCACTATCCCAAACACCAGTATTTTAAATTCAGGTCTGGTTCAAATAGGAAGCACGTAAAGTGCCATATTGTGTAGCAAACTATGAGGAAAGCATTAGAGGTCCAGAACAATCCAAACAGTACTCTTTTGACTAACAGCACATGATAGAGAGAGGAACTGGGAGCACTTGCTGAAAGTCTATTGCATTGGTCCAAGCATGAAGCAATTGAGGCAAGCATCAATAAAGCCACCAAGAGCCAAAAAATGTCCAATCACTTTAAAAAGCTATACAATTAATAAATGGGTGTTATCAAGCAAGATTCAAAGGTTTCAGATGGAGAAAATAGGTATTCTGAAGCTCTGGAATCAAATGAGGAGGACAGTAAAGGATGGAAAAAACAACTAGACCAAAACAAAATAAACTCTGTTTCATCCCTATTCAACTTTAGGCATGGGAAAACATCCAAGATGAAAACCTAGTAAGACAGGTCAATAGGCATCATATTTGCATAATATTGACCATGAATTGCGGCACCCAAGAGAAGGGAATAATAGGTGAACAAAATAGGCCCCACGACTGATACTTGAGGGAAATCACTCTAATAGAAAATTCCATGGTCAATGATGTAGCTTTGGAGGAAAAAGTAAAAAGGCAAAAAAGATTCGGCCCAATCAAGAATTTACCAATGATGCCCAAGGACCATGTCATAGACAAAGATATCTACTGGCTGAGTGCATCAGCTGTTGCTGTAAAGTCAAAAAGGACAACACCAATGTCAGATAGTGAGACTTCACCATCAGACTATCATTGAGAACTTGGTGTTCACAAAGTACATTTAATTAACACAATTTTATGGGTGCACATTCTATGAATTGTTATCTAATTAAATAGATGGGCTCACACAACACACTAGATTGGCATATGATTGCCTTAGTGTTTCTTGTGAATACAGCCATTATGCCAGGCCATTGAGCTATCAAGCCCAGTATTGCCAATTCCAATTGGAAGCCTTCCAGTTGAATTTGCTATAAAATTCCTCATATTCCCAGCCAGTATAGCAGGGATGGGGAACGGTGGGTTCTACTTATCTTTACTACCGGTTTGCAGCGGGGCTGCACGCGCTCTTTTGCGCATGCACAGAAGCGTTTTGATGACATAGGGGTTGGTGGGTGGAGCCTCCAGCCGGTTTTACTACCGATTCTATAGAACCAGTGCGAACCGGGGGCAGCCCACGACTGGTGGGGAACCTTGGCCCTTTTATGACTTGTGGAATTCAACTCCCAGAAGTATGGCTGGCTCAGGAATTCTGGTAGTTGAAGTCCACAAATCATAAAAGGGCCAAGGTCCCCCACCCCTGCAGCATTGAACAATCAGCATTGCCTCTGATTTAGAAAGGCTGATTTAATTCTCATTTGAAGAAGCATTAAGTACTTCGCCTTTTAAACTGGAGAAATTCAAACCTGAGCCATTGAAATATGACCCTTCCCTCAACTTCTGCATGCTTTTTTTTTTTAATGACAGATGTTAAACACTTCAAGGAAACTTCCTCATTGAGATTACAGCAAAAGAAAAGATACTGGTGAAATGCAGACACTAGAAAAGTCCCTTTGTCTGTACCGGCCCAGGGCAAATAATTTCAAGAAATCCTAGGATGAAGGGATCAGGATGAATTTTATTCAAAACAAATGTCCTTCTCGTCCAAAGTGTAATGCTGTTCTTTGCAGATTTGTGCTTAAGACCCTCCAAAATGGAAGAAGCTGAGGGGACAGTTCAGTGCACAATTAATAGGAAGTCCAAAACTAAATTTAACTTGTCATATTTCACTTAGTAGACATAGAAGCTGTCTTTATATGTAGGCAACCCAAACGGTTTTTTTTTTTTTTGAGCTTACTCCAAATAATGGAAAAAAAATATTGTTCTTGAGTCATCAGGAGCATATTAGCAGGAAGGAGGTGAAGTTTATGTCTGCTGCTATGTTTTTGCTACTACAAATTGCTTTCAGCACATAATTACACAGCATATCACTCCATGAATCTCTCTCTTTCATGCTGATTTCTTGTATCTTATGCAGCTATCATACTGCCATCTGATTATGGTCACTCTCCTCCAACAAGCAGATACAAGAGAGAGTTGTAGCTAACAAAGGGACTGACCCTAGCTCTATCCCAAAAGCAACCTCACAGCAATCCTAAAAACATCCTATCTTTTATGGTAGCCCCCTTTTCTGCTTCTTAATCAACAACTGTTGTATTAGGAGGCATTCTTTGGCAACTTCAGTTTGCTTTTGAGCCTGGCCCATCATCCACAATTGATATCTAGAAATGATGATCACAACAAATAGACCTTGTCGAGTGACAAGTGCTTCATAGAAAATTGCTTTCATCTCAGTTTTACAGGGCTGCATAGAATTTTTTTTTTATTTTTTTTTTACTAATTTCATAAGCAAAAGGGGGAAAAAAGCCATGAAAACTTACTAACATCACTGATACAGAAAACCACAGCCTAGGCAGAAAGCCATGGATATCAGGCCTGTATCTCCATTTTAAACCCTTTGAAAGATAGTTACATTATTTCAGGCTTGCAACATTTAAATCCCAATAATGAAACTACTGTAATTAAATCAGATTTCCCTCAGGTTTTGCTCTTCAAATGCATGAGGTCTTTGGGCTAATTGACTGGAAATTCTGGGAGCTGCGGTCCCAGTTACCCACCTGGAGAGCAACAGGCTGGGGAGGTTCTGCCTTCAATAAAGGGGCCATGGTTTATTTGATAGGTAACAAGTTATCAGGTAGGCAATTCCACAATTAATCTTAGATATGTTAGAGAGATATGTTCTATGCAGGCTGACTTTTTTTTTTTTAAATCGCATTTCTGAAAAATAAAAGCATTACTTCCCCAGTCACAGAAAACAAATAAAATTTCTCCCCTGGTTTCTATGGTGTCTCATGAAACTATGAAACAGTTTTGCAGCAATTCTTCTCAGCCTCTAGGAGCTTACAATCAACATCTCTCTCTCTCTCTCTCTCTCTCTCTCTCTCTCTCTCTCTCTCTCTCTCTCTCTCTCTGAAAGATGGAGGTTAAGAAAGAACAAGAAAACATACATTTTGTCAGAAAGGCAGCTGAGGAAAAAAAAAAGACCCACTCACTCCCTTGCTTCTCAAAGGAAGGGTATACATACCCATCTCCTACCACCACACATTTGATGGCTTGCATGTCTCCGGCCTAGCAGCACCGTGGAGTTCAGGAAGCCTCTTGAGCAACGAAGCAGCTCAACAAAATGTTGATGGTGGAAAGTCTTCTATAGATATGTCAAAACTGAAGCTGAATTAACAGCAGGTTGTGGGTTAGGGAGGAAGCGGAAGAGAGAGAATATTTCTCAGCCCGCCCACTAGTCTCTTCCTTTACCAGGCAGCTTTAAGTGCTTGCTGGGGAAGGGCAAGCTTGCTATTTGAAAGCAGAACTCTTTTTTTGCAGATCCCGGATGGTTCAGCATTTCCTCTTATCTGTGACTCCACACTTTGGACAGTCGGGAAAAGGGTTGCTTTGAATCCATTCCCCAACATAGATTGCCCAGAGCAGCAGATGGAGAAGGTGAAGGAGAGAGATGCTTAGAGAAAGAAGGCCTTTTCCCTCTTCCCAGTTACTTCAGATGAAGAGAAGATGGCTTGCATAGGAATTGTTTGGCTTGGTCTCACTGCAAAGAGAAGGAGAGAGAACAAGTCATATCGGTCTAGGGCAAAACAAAGTGTGTGTATTTTGTAAACAGGGGACCTCGTTGTCTTCCTTTTAGGAGTGATATTTAAGAACATTTTGTTTGCGTTTCCACAAACTTGGATACTCACAGAAAACATTGTGAAACGTTTTGCATGTTTTTGCACATTTTGAACCAATCACATACATGCAGACTTCTTGGTTCCCTGCCTCACAATGTATAAAGCAGAGTGAATACATTATAATGATGTGCATGCTGAACAGCTCCACAGAGCATGATAATATTCATGTCTATAACATTTGCGAATAGAAGCTAACCATTTAACTCTTGACAAGCCACATTTATGACTGAAGGCAGCAATAAAGAACCTACAGAAACAAACCTATGAAGTCCTACCTCACTGAAAGAAAGATATGCAATCCAATTTATCAAATTATAGATGAAGCAGGACAGGTGGACGGAAAAACTATGAAATGGGGAGATCCATGATCTGAAGTTACTGAATTAGAGCAAGGGCTGAGAATTGGAACCAAGGTATTTATTGCAGTGTGAAATATTTGATGTTAAAGCAAATGTTTAGGGCATGAGTCTTGCAGCACGTCCCCATGGCCCAAAACTGCTACTAAACCTCAGCTATGTCTCTAGTTGTATAAACCCTTTGTTTCGAGCAGGCAGTCTGCTTGATGATCCATATTAACCTTTAGGCTCTATTAAATTCACCTTTTGCTGTTGTCTTTCACAGTACCACCTGGTTCACTTCAGAGGTGGGATTCACTTACCTTCCCTACTGGTTTCCAAATGTGAGCGCATGTATGCACCAGGGGTGGGTTCTACTTACCTTTACTACTGGTTTGCAGTGGGGCCGTGCACGCGCGCTTACTTTTCTCACACACACGTGCGCTCTTCTGCACAAGCGCAGAAGCGTTTTGATGACGTCGGGGTCGGTGGGCAGAGCCTCCCACCAGTTTTGGGGGTTTTTTTTGCTTTAATTTATATGCCGCCCTTCTCCAGAGACTCAGGGTGTCTTACAATGCGTTAAGCAATAGCTTATTGCCCCCACAATCTGGGTCCTCATTTTACCTACCTTTGAAAGGATGGAAGGCTGAGTCAACCTTGAGCCTGGTGGGATTTGAATTTGCAGTAATTGCAAGCAGCAGATGTTAATAACAGTGCATTAGTTCACTATGCTACCAAAGTTTTACTACCAGTTCTATAGAACCTGTGCAAACCGGGGGCAACCCACCACTGGTATGCACGCTTTGCTCACACGCGCCACCTTCCACGCATGCTCGGCCTTCCACTCATGCTCTTTGTTCATGTGCATGCCTTCCACGCATGCGCACGGCCTCCAAAACGTGGCTAAATAGGACGGCATTATGTCCGGGCAGGTGGGCTGAATCCCACCACTGGTTCACCTACTGAAAGCTGTGAATCTTCCTGGGCTTGATACTTAATTTTCTTCCTTTTTTCAGGTGGGACATTCTTCAAGAGTGACTATGAGAGTGCAGTGGCTTTTCATTCCAGTAAGAGAAGATTGGAGTCTTGCGATACACAGGGTAACTTCTTCTGAGCTATGGATATCCAAATTTCAGTCTGGACTGGATAACATGTTAGTAGAGGAGGAATGGTACAACTGATGAAATAAAGTAAACCACAAAAGATACAGTGATTACTTGAAGCAGAATAAGTCACAGCAGTGGTGTGTCAGGGTATTGTGCCCCACCAGACTTGGATGAGGAGGAGGTTGGAGAGGAACTTGGGCCAGTTCTAGAGTCTGAGGAAGCTCTGATGGATGATCTGCAGATGCCAGGCTGTCCAACATTTCCTAGCAGCTGCCTTCAGAAGCTGAGATAAGTGGGAAGGAAGAACAGCTGGGGCTTATTCCAGATGCGCATATGTGCAGAGCTGCTAGGAGAGGAGAACAACTGAGGACAAGGAGTCAACTCGGGAAGAAAGCACATGTGGATGCTGAATGGCCCCTCCCTGGCTGGGGAATAAATAGAAGGAAAGGGGAGTGGTGGTTGTGGGAGAAAACCGTTCACATTTCAGAAGATTTGGTTCATCATGTCTCAGAGACTGCTTGCCAGAACTTTATTTACAGCTTTGTGGCTGGAAGCTCCCGGCCTGGCAATTATCTCAATGAACTGATAAGGTCTATTACTGCAATTAACTATTTGAAGGATTATTGCTGGACTTTTCAATATGTGAATGCCATTAATTGACAGGAGATAATTAAAGAGGGTTTTTTTTTTTGAAAGGAGTCTGTTTCTTGTTTCTGCTAAGGCTGGGTAAGAAAACAAGAAGTGTGATGTGTGGCAGGCAGTTCAGGTGCAGTTAATAAGGGGGATGCTTCTGAAGACAATAAAGAGGCAGGTGCAGCATTGGGTGGCTGCTGCCAGCATGTTGATCGTCTTTTTAGAAGCGAGTAGCATGGCAGCAACAGAGGAAAATAATTGCATCCTCAAGTCAGTTTTGAGTCATGGTGACCACCTCCTATAGTTTTCTTCACAGCATTTTTCAGAAATGGCTTGCCAGTTCCTTCTACCTAGGGCTGAAAGAGAATGACTGGTCACCCAGTTGGCTTTGTGCCTAAGGCTAAACTAGAAGAGACTTAGAGTTAGAATAACTTTATTGTCACTTTGAATGTACACTAATTGGCATGCATTAAAACGAAATTTCACTGCATACAGTTCTCAACGGGTCACCACCTCCAATATACACTACATAAACATGACAAAATAAAAAAAATACAAAATTATGTCTATACCCACATATATTATATGACACAGAAAAACAACACAGTTTAGTTCAGATGTGTACATGTACATGGCGAGAAAACTGAATCCTGCACATTTACCAGATGTCTGGCATAGGGAACAAAGCTGCTACAGAATCTGGTAGTCCTGCTAGAAATACTTTAAAACCTCCTCCCAGAAGGGAGCAACAGAAACAGACCATAAAGTGAGTGTGTGGGGTCTCTAACAATGCTTTGAGCTGTAAGCACATAGTGCTTATAAGCAGTATCCTGAGTAACAGGAAGTGAGCTTCCTATAATCTTCTCAGCTATCCTTACCACTCTGTATGGACTTTCTATCTGAGGCACTTCTGTCACCTAACCAAATAGTGATGCAGTTTGTTAAAACACTTTCAATTGTGCCTCTGTAAAAAGTGGCCAGGACAGAAGGAGAAAGATGTGCTCATCTGACGCAGGAAATGCAGACACTTGCACGCTTCACTAAGGATGACGTCTGGAGAGACCAGATTGTTGGTTATCTGCACCCCCCAACTTAATACTGTTGACCACCTCTACAGCTGCATCCTTGATACTGAGTGGAATGTGACTATGTCAGCTCTTTCAAAAGGCTACAATGATCTCCTTTGTTTTATTAACATTTAGAACCAGGTTACTTTTATTGCACCAATCCACCAGAGCCTTCATCTCTTCCCTATAAGCATCTTCATTGTCGTCCTGGATAAGACTCACCACTGCTGTGTCATTCGCATACTTCACAATATGATTTGTAGCAGGTTTGGCACAGCATGGGTCATGGGTCATCAAAGTGAACAATAATGGACTCAAGACACAGCCCTGTGGGGAACCTGTACTCAAGGAGATGGAGTTGGAAACTTTTCTTCCAACTCGCAGTCTCCTGGTTTCTAACTTGGTGTCTTTAACCATTACACCAAACTGGTTCTTGGTGATGGAGGAGGTGGATCTAAAAATGGTCTCAGATGTGCTGGAGTATACTACTGAATCATAGATTCAGAATAAGAACAGAAGATGATATTTGTGGATGCTTACTTAGCTGCTGTTACAAAATTATATTGAGCTGGGCTATTTAAATCAGACTTATTTAAGAGCTGGTTAAGATCTTCTCCCAAATTTTCTATCTAATACTTCACCAAATATTGTTCTTCCAACTGATACTTCTCTTGAATGATACCCTGAGTGGCTCAATGTGGGTGATATGATGGCTGAGATAGCCACTTCCTGGACAATGAACTCAACTTTTTGTATTACTCAGCTTCATTGCCACAAGTTGTAGTGCTGGCTAAAGGCCCAGGTGGCTTCATGGAAACAGTTGGACCAATCCATGGCAATCATGGGGATCAATCATCTTGGTAACATTATGACTGTCTTGGAAAGCTGCCTTTCAGGAGACTAGTGGGCTTCTTTTGGCAGTTGGTTGGTCATTGTGCGAACAGACTGCTGGACTAGATGGGGAAGGCATCTCATCCAGCAGCAGGCACTGCTCACATTCTTATAGGATACCCTCTGGTATTTGGAAAATACCAGAATGGAAAAAACAAATTCCCTGTGCCCACTGTCCACAAACCACACATGAATTTATCAATTTCAACCGTATCCTGTCTAAGTTGTCTTTTTCTTAGCTAATATGTCTCAGACATACTAGCCTTTTCTTGTAAGTGTACAATAAATTGGATTTAGAATAATATGGACAACCTTTCCATTTTTTAATGTACATAATTTTATTTAAAATGTTAAGATAAAAGCTAATGCAAACTAAAGCAAAAGAAAGAAATTAAAGAAAAAAGTGCAACCAAAGGAAAAAAAATTAAAAATAGAAAAGAAAGTATAAAAAAGTGGCTTTCAATAGTCTTCATCGTAAT